AGCAGGAGTGCAGTGACACGCTCACAGCCACCCCAGCATCAACCTGCTGGGCTCTGGCGATCCTTCCACCTCAGCCTTCCAAGTAGCTGGAACTACAGGCGCACACTACCATGTCCAACTAATTTTTTTAAGTTGTATTTGGTGTAGAGACAAGGACTCACTATGTTGCCCAGGCTGATCTTGAACCCGTGGGCTTATGCAATCCTCTCGCCTCAACTACCCAAAGTGCTGGGATTTCAGGCTTGAGCCATCATGCCCAACCTAAATCATGTCTTTTAATAGTACAAAAAGCAGTATGTTTATTCTTCATACCAATCAATGGTTTTAAACAGCCAATTTACCAATTTTTTCAACACAAATCATTTCTTCCACAAATCAGAAGACTGTTATATCTCAATTCATACCATTCTGTCTCAAAATGCAATTCTGTTTCTTCATTCAGCACCATAGTTCTGACAGAACTCCTTTGCCATTCATTTTTTAATCTCAGAGCTGTGTCTAGCCTTCCAACAGAATTAGATAGTCCAATCTGAAAAGCTGCCTGAAGGAAGTGTGAGTTGTAGTCAACCTCTGACTGTTTTTTTTCCAACCCCGTGATAGACTCTCTCAAACTGATTAAATTAATAAGACCCTCTGGTTTTTTAGTTGATAATTGTTTTGATATTTGGGGTCTACACATTTTTATTTTAATGATAAAATATTTTAAGCCTATAGAAAATAATAGAAATACCCATGTAACCGTCACCCACAGATTTAACATATGAAAATTTTACTCTAGTTTTTTTCAGACTTTTGTTGAGAGAAAATAGTACAGAAGTAGATGAAACATACTTCCCTGTACCATTCTCCTCTCTTCTTTCCCAGACATATCTGAATATCCTGAAGATGGCATGCATCTTCTCTTCCTTGGTTCCGTTTGTTTCATTTGTATCCATAAATGGCATATAGTAATGCTTGTCGTATATTTAAAATATTTACAAATGTTACCTGTATCCTTCTGCAACTTTTTCATTCAAAAGTATGCGTTTGAGGTTGATTCATACAGATATGTGTTCATTTAGTTTGATCACTGTAACTGCTGCATAATGTTTCATTGTATGGATATACCACAACTGTTTATCCATTCTCCTATGGGTGAATATTTAGGTTGTTTCCAATTTTGTGTTATTATAATCAGTACTGAAGTGAACATCCTAATGTCTATCTGCTTTTGCAAATACACAGAGTTTGTTTAGCGTATATACTTAATAGTGGAATTACTGGGTTATATGATTTATGCATTTTCAGTTTCCACTAGATTTTGCCAAATTGTTTTCCACAGTAGTTGGAGCCATTTTCACTCCCCCAGCAGTGTATGAGACTTCTCCATTTCCCCATGTCCTCACCAACCCATGCTGCTGTCAGATATTAACTTTTGCTAATTTAATGAATATGAAGTAGCTTTTTTATTTTAACTTAGATTTCTGTTTTCTAATGTTATTCAGCATCTTTTTATATGTTCGTAGACCATTGATGATTTGCCCGTTCATGTCCTTTGTTTATTGTTCTATTTAATTGTATTTTTTGTGTGTTCTTTATATGTTTTAGATATTAATTCTTTGCTAGCTATATGCATTGCAAATATTTTCTCCTGGTCTGTGGCTTATTTTTAAATTTTATGTGTGATATCATTTTGTCTTGTGAAAGTTTTAATTTTAAAATGCCAGAATTATCAATCTTTTTCTTTATGGCTTCTGCTTTTTTATGTCTTTTGAAAGTAGTTCTTCCTTATGCAGAGATTATAAAAATTTTCTTCCATATTTTCTTCTAAAAGTATTCAAATTTTGCTTTTATGTGTTTAGTAACTTAAACCGAAATTTGTTATTTATAATGGGAAATGGGATTCTGTTCTCTTTCCCCCATGAACATCTGACTCTCCTATATTTGATTTGTAATGCTATTTCTGCTTTATGTGCATTAGTCTATTTGGAAGTTCTCTGTTCTCTTCCATTGTTGGTTATTCCTGCACTGACACCAAATTGTCTTAACTACTATAACTCTAAAATCATTTCTGATATCTGGTATGATGAGCCACCCCCACCCACCTTATTCTTCTTCCTTTTCTCTTGACCCTTTAGTTTTTCATATTACTTGTAGAATCAGCTTGTTCTCACATGGAACTTTCGATTGTAATTTCATTGAACTTATATATTTTTCTCAGGAAAATTGACATCTTCATGATTCTGGGTATTTCCATCTATGAGCATGCTATACATATTAATCACATCCTTCAGTAAAGCTTCATTATTTTCTGTGTACTCCATATTGCTTGTTAGATGTGTTCTTAGATACCTAAAACTTTTTATTGCTACAGTGAATGAGATCCTTGTAAAATATATTTTCTCATTAGGCATTGCTGGTCTTTACAAACTCTGTTGATCTTGCATCCAGCACCCTTGCCTGACCCTTTTTAATTCTAAAAACTTCTTTCAGACTCTATGTGAGTGCTAATGACAGTTTTGTTTCATATCAATTGCTTGCTAACTTTGATGTAGATTTTCAGTGTTTCTCTAGTTTATGTTTTATATTTATCATTTCAAACATTAAATTATAACTTGAATTTAAATTTATTCAAGGTGTTTAAAAGTAAATAAAATCTAAATTAGAACTAAACTCACAGAAAGAAAACTGAGAAATTCAACAGAATTTAATTTTAAGTCTGCAGTGCATATAAAATGTTATATTTTTGAAAGTTACATAGTAACATTGGCAACAAGGGACCATCCATTTTTCCCTTAATATTTTAAAATGTTCTGTAAGTTTTTATGAGCACTACCTTTTTCCTCCTATTTTCTTATATAATATCTGAAAAGGAAGTTATTCTTTGTGTCTTTTTAAAAATACTTTGCTAATTAAGTAGACTCTTTTTCTCTACAATATCATCTGTTAAAATCACTAGTTACTTTTATTTTTTTTAAAAAATTTTACAATAGTACCCCATTTAAAAAGACTATATTTTAACAGCTAACTAGTAAGGATATGGTTTGTAACTAAATTTGTATTAAGTTCTGAATTCCAGTCAAACTAGATAATCTAACTTCATTCTTTGGAAGTTAATTTCTGTACAAAAATGCCACTAATCTCTGTATCTATAATCTTTGTACATGTTCACATCCACAGAGCTGTGATCTATAATGTTTTATATATTTTATATATGGAAGTTGAGTAGTTAACCCACTTAACATTTTTATTATAAATTCTGCTAAAAACTTTTTCAGATACTTCTTAGAATGAATATGGCAAAATAAGATGACTGAAAATTAATATCCTCATTTTTATATAGGCTGCATTCTGTGACATTTTCATTTTCTAGTTTTCAGACTGAAATAACTTTCACTAATTGAACAAATATTTCATTTGTATATATTGTAGTCAGAAAATACTTACTATGAGAATTTTAGCACTACTAATATTTTTTAAATCGACTAGCTGAACTTTTTTTGCCTTTTTGGTGTTTTGTTTGGTTTTATTTACTTTGGTTTCTTTCTAGTTATGTTTGAAATAGTTGAAATGCTTCATGACACTTATTTCCTTTTTTTGCTTCTGGGTTCAGATTGTAGACTCTACTCCACTTCCAGTTCACACACCAACCTTGAGAAAAAGGGGATGTCCTGGTTCAACTGGCATTCCACCTAAGGTATTCAACCAAATTATAAGCATAATGTGTTTTTAAAGATGAGATTGGATTTCTTCTGCTTTATGTATTTGCTGTGATTTTTTTTTTTACATTTCTTCAAAGTTACAAACATAAAAACTTGGAAAGAAAATAAATTCTGTATGAATGGGTATAATTACCAGTGGGAAAAGTATGAAGGGTATACAGAGTTTTTTCTTTTTCATCTTCTTAAGTTCAGTGTTTTGAACTCTAGTAAGTCTTCTAAAAACTGTACGCCTAAGTAAAGCATTAAGTTGAGACCACTTATAAAAGAATTTGAGATTGAGGGTATTATACCAAACTGAGGAAGAAATGTCTAGTGAAAAATTCAAGTGCGTTCTTTTTTTTCCCTTCATTCTATTTGGCGTGAATATGATGAATAAATTATTATATGTAGTAGGACATGAAAATTGCGTTGCTTGTCTCAAGCCTACAGAGAATTTCTAGAAACTGGAAAACTGAAATGATCTATTTCTCTAGAATATAAACCTTGAATAGACCACAGAATAAGAGGGAGAGGTCAGTGGACCTGAACAACTCCTAAAATATGCAAAAAGTGTAGCTGGTATAAAAGAAAAACTGAATGCCCAGGTAAAGCAAAATGTTGAGACCAGACAGAACATGAATTTAAAACAAACGTAATATCCTTAAAGAGACAAGGTAAGAAATGTGTTGATAACATGAGCCAGAATTAAAAAATAAGGCAGTAAGGAAGAAAAGTAAAATGGAAATACTTAGATGTAACTGCTGAAATAACTCAATAGATGACTTTGTAGAATGAACAGAAAGGTTATAGTAGAAAAACAAGTTAGCGGGAAGGAAGATAAGATGAAAAATCTGAAAGTTAAGATATACATGACAAAAATAGTGTCAATATCTGTATAGTAGGACTCTCAAAAAGAAAGAAAGTAATAGATGGAACTACCTGAAGAAATAATGAACTAAAATTTTCCAAAATGAAAGGTAAAAAATCTCATACTAGAAGACAATATTAGGTGCTAATGTGAATAGATAAGAAAAACCAGCTACATTATAGTAAAATTTAAGGGTATCATAGAATAAGAGAAAATTTGAAAAACTTCCAAAGAGAAAGAGCAGATCATTTGTGTAAAAAAACAAAGATCAAATTGTTTTTGGCCTTCTCAACACCACTAGAAAATAATTTTCAAAGTGTTGAAGAAAAAGAGCTTTAAATCTAAAAATTTGAACTTGACTGTGCTATCACTTAAATATGAGAACAAGTTAAAAACATTCTCAGGTATACAAGAATTTAGAAGGTTTACTATAAAACAAAACAAAACTTCTCTTTGAAAATATTCTAGGCAATTCCCTCAAGTCCCCTCCCACTGTGGGAGCTTTTCTATGCTCTCAATAAATCCTGTTTTCAAAAAAAAGAAAATATTCTGAGGGGAAGTTCTTCATCAATAAGAGATAAACAGCCAAGAGGCCACTATGAGAGATTTGGGAAACAGGATGAATAGATGTCTTAAAGACTTTATTGTGGTCAAGGACCTCATTATACAAGAATCAAAGAAAAAGCAAATGTATATTCAAGACAGTCCGGAATTGAAATAAAAACACAGTGGAGGTGATTCTAAGAATCAGTTGAGGTGAACATGCTAATGCATTTATGTTGTTTAGGTAGAAAGTATACAGGCAGTTATTAACATGGTGAATTCCCAGCCAGACTTTCTAAATTAGCATCCCAACTCTATCACATAGTAGCTCAGTGGAGCTTGAGCAAGTTATTTACCTTTATTTATTTCAATTTCTTCATCAAAAATGAGGATAATAATAGTACATGTCTCATTGGATAGTTTTGAGTTTTAGACAAGCACAGTATTATAAAGAACTTAGAATGGTGCCTGGCATAATATATCAATTCCCTTATATATTTATAGTTTTTTCTTTTTTTGGTGAGTTAAGGTCTTACTCTGTCACCAAGATATCACTCAGATTAGAGTGCGGTGGCACAATCACAGGTCACCACAGCCTCAACCTCCTGGGATCAGTCTCTCACCTCAGTCTCTCAAATAGCCGGGACTATAGGTGTGTACCACCACATGACACTAATTTTTTGTTTTGTTTTGTTTTTTGAGTCAGAGTCTCACTATGTCACCCAGGCTAGAGTACAGTGGCACGCTCACGGCCACCCCAGCGTAGACCTGCTGGGCTTCGCTGATCCTTCCACCTCAGCCTTCCAAGTAGCCAGAACTACAGGCATGCACTTCTACACCCAGCTAATTTTTTTTTATTTTATTGTAGCGACGAGGTCTGGCCAAGTTGTCCGGGCTGGTCTCTAAACCATGGGCTCAAGCAATCTACTCGCCTCGGCCTCCCAAAATGCAGGGATTACAGGCTGAGCCACTGAGACTGAGCCCGGCTTTTTTTTTTTTTTTTGGTGGAGCTGAGGCCTCACTACATGGCCTAGGCTGGTCTTGGACTCCTGGGCTCAAGCAATCCTCCCACCTTGACCTTCCAAAGTGCTGGGATTACTGACATGAGCCACTGTACCTGGCCTATTTGTAGTATTACATAAATATGTTTACAAGTATTGATAATAAGGATATTCAGCTTAGGGATAGATGTTGATAAATTGAAATGAATAAGTAGAAGATTAATAAAAGATATGATTTTGAAATCTGTAGAAGGAAATGTTTTCCACTGAATAGAGACAGGAAAGGAAAAAGAGAAAAAAGCAAAGCATGGTGACCTAGTACTGGGCAGGACAGGGAAGAGAAGTAAAAGTCCACATAAATAAGAAGAAGAATGAAGAGCTCAAAATATGAAGTCTTTTCTTAATTACTATTTTATGAAAATAACAGAAAAGGGAAGCCACCTACATAAAAGTACAGGAAAAGTTATTTCACTTAGAAATAGACACCAGGGAAGAATTATAGTCAAATCTCATATAAAATTATTATAAGAAAAAAGAGACTAAGAATCAAAATATCTTAGCAAAGCCATGTCTACAAAAATCAATGAAAACTGCAATGAGTACTTTTAAAGAAATTAAGAAAATAACAAACTGTGAAATAACAAAAATTAGAAATAGGAAACTCAGAAGTGAGGAACGGTGAGAAAAGTGAAAAAGGAAGATTTGAGTGAGAAATGAAAGAACTCAGGAGAAAGAATTAGAAATTTAATTTAACTATAGTTTCAGAAATATATACTAACCCATAGGGTATTCTAGAGCAAATAAACTTAGCAGATAATGACTTAAGACAAATAGGAGGTGGAAATCAAGAAATGAGGAATGAAGTAAAAAGGATTTGGAAAAAACGTGATAGGAAAGATTGGCAAAGAATAACCAACATTTGTATAACAGGAGTCCCTGAAAAAGAAAACCAAAACAATGGAAAATACTATATTCAAGGAAATTTCCCTAAAGATTAGTAACTCATATTACAAGGTCATACAGCATAGCTGAGAAAATCAACCCAGTCAAAAGAAAATATATTACTGCAAACTACTGGTTTATAAGTAAAAAGAAAACCATTGGGCATTTGGGCAAGAAGTACAAGTAAATTAAGGGGGAAAGAAAATGAAGATTGTCAAGAGATTTTTCAATATTAGTGGTATGCTTAAAAAAAAAAAAAAGACAGAATGTTTAAGATACTCAAGGAAATGATGTCAAAGATTTTTAAGGATTTGAGATTTTAAGTATAATAAGTGTCCTATCAAGATAAAAGCTAAGAAAATTATTAAGAACATGCAAGAACTCAAGAAATGTTCCCATTGCCCTTCCTGAGCAATATACTAGGGAACAAGCTTCAGATAACCAAAGTGGTAAGATATCTTGAGGCAAGAGTGAAGTACGGGTCTAGAGTAAATTGGAGAATTGATTCAAAGTCCAACTAAAGCATTACTAGACCAACTCTCAAAACCAGATGACTATCCTGGCTCAGCAGTATGTTAATTTTGTGAAATAGTTAAATGACAAATTTAGGGACACCAAGGCTCAGTGATTGGCAAGAAAGAGAAATGTCAAACCACAAATAGTGAGATTTGGCAAACGTCTACAAACTGAATGGTGAGGCCCCAAATGCCTTTTCCCTGCTTACTGGCGCTTGTCCTTGGAAGATATCCGTAGATTCTCTGAGAAAACTAACCCAGAAAAAACCTATAGATAATGGAATTTAGGGATGCCTAATGAGATGGTTAGGTCCTTTCTTAACAAGCATACCATACATTTACTCACACATGTAAATATATGTACACACATACACAAACCATTTAGCTTTTTTTGCTGCCTCACTCTTAAAAATGTTAAAATTCCTAAGAATTAGCAGACATTTTAGGAGATCATCTAACAAAATAAAAAGATCAGAACAGGAAAATGTTTCCTTGAAGGAAAAATAGACGATCCAAGAAGCATAAGGAAATAAAAAAGGAATATGCAGAGAACAAGAAGTCTTTTGAAAATTAAAAAATATGATAAGCATTTTTCAAATTTAGTAGATCAGTATGGAGATAAATTTGAGAAAAATCTCTTAGACAATATTATAAAATGTCAGGCAGAAATTAGAAGAGGCAACATGATAAATTAATATCCAACAACCAGAAGTTTCTGAAAGGGAAAATGGAAAAGAGAAAAGGAAGGATATTGTCAAATACAAGACATTTTTCTGTAACTGAAAGACATGTTTCCAAATTGAAAGGTTCCACCAGTGCCTACCATAATGGATGAGAAATGCCCATCTCCAGTCACATCATTGTGTGATTTTTCAAGGTACCAAAATACAGAGAAACTTTTTCACATGTCATGGAGATAAGATAGATCACATCCAAATTTTCAGTAATAAAAATGTCATACTTACCAACAACAAAATGAAAATTAACAGTTGTGAAATAAAATGATTTCAGTGCATACCTCATCAGCAAGGGTACCTGCATAATGAACATTTGTATACCTAACCCTGAATTGTACACCACATCTTTAAAATAAAAAATAAAATATTCTTCTGCCACCAAAAAAAAAAAAAAAAAGATTTCAAGCTAGAATTTTTGATTCCCTGTTAAATGTTCAATCAAGTTTGAGGGAAAAATAAAAGCAACTTCAGAAATGTAAGACCTCAAAAAATGTATCACCCAAGAACTACTTTCTAAGGAAATTATTGAAATAATTAGTTGTATCAAAATAGAAGAGGAGACCAAGAAAGAGAAAGATATGAGATACTTAGAACAGGGACTCTTACACAGAATGGTTAAGAGAAAGACTGGAGCAGAAAAACAAAAGACTTTGATAATGACGTGTTTAGGTCGATTAAAAGGGGTGGAGGGGCTAAAAGACTTTCTTCCGGATGTGTTTGGCCTGTGCTAAAAAGATTTAAGGGCATTTTACCATTCTTTTGGAGAGTGTGAGAACATTTAGTGATAGAGATACAGAAAAGTAAAAGGGAGGAAGGACACAATATTAATTTTTTTTAAATTGAAAGGTTATATAAGAAAGAAAACAACGTTGTTGTACCTCTTGACTAATTAGTTAATAATTCCAGGGTTGTAATAGCTTAAACAATAAATACAAATTTTAACCCAAAACTATACTGTAACAATATTGGGAAAATTAAGGGAGGAGAAGGAAAGATTTTCTTCCCCAGAATTGTGGAGATGTTTCTGTGAACATCTCCTAGATGTAGAAGGAAGGGAGTAACTAAAAGAGTTAAAAGAAATTGCCTCTAAAAAGGACTTGGGGCAAAGGGGTACTTCTGTTTTTGTTGTAAGCATTATAATACCATTTTACTTTTTGAACTATGTGCATGTATTGATTTAATTTGAAAAATTAAAAACACATACTTAGGAGAAAATTTAGGTGAATTTCTTTGTAACTGGGAAAAAAAATATGATCTCAAGTCAAATAAGGCGAAAACATTGATGGACTTTACTATATCAAAATTAAATATGTTTGTACTGTGAAAGCATTGTTAACAAATGGTGGCAAATAGTGGAAGATATTTGCAATGTTTACTATTAGTAAAAGATTTATTTCTAAAATACATAAGAAACTCCTATAGCTCTACATGAAAAAGATTGGAAATTTTATTGAAAAATTGTCAAATGATATGAATAAGTAATTCCCAGAAGAGGATATTCTAATGGTCAACAAGTGTGTGAAGAACTGCCAACTTCATTAATAATTGAAGAAATTTTAAAAATAAAGTTAATGTTTTAATTATTACCACTTTATACTGAAAATTAAGTAAAGTAGGTACAGCAAAATTAAGGTGACATCAAGGATGTATAGAAACTGGTGTCTTCACACACAGACAGTGGAAATATAAACAGGCAGAACCATTCTGGAGAGATCCCGGGCAGTGTGAAGTGAACCATATGACCAACCTAGCAATCTCATTCCTTCAGAAAAACTTCTATTCAGATCCATTAGGCAACATGATGAAGATGTTAATATCTGCATTTTTTATGGTAGCAGGGAGTTGGAAATAGGGGAAAGACAGGTAAAATGTAGCTGGTAAAAAGATAATCTACATTTTTTCCTCATGATTTTTAAACTTATTTTGGTTTGTGTAAATTATATATCTCAGTCAAGGAGAACAAAATTTATTTTTAACTTAAATTTTAAAACTTCAGATATTTCCTTTAGTTTTTTGTTCATATCATGTTAGTCTCAACTGAAATAAATACTGCTTCCTAACTGTTTTTCTTCAGTATTCACATTTTATTAGAATATGGAATAGAGTTCTTTCTAGTTTAAATCAATCACACATATAAAATAGAAATGATTAGCAAAATTTGTTTTTATAAAAAAATAAATATTTTTGAGTGCTTACTATGTGCTAGGCATTTAACCATCCCATGAAGTAGATATTGTTGTTGTTGATCTTACTTAAGAGATGAGGAAAGTGAGACACAGAGAAGTTAAGTAAGTAATTTCTCCTAAGTTTGCACAGCAGAATAAAAGTTATATAATTTATTTATTGTTAAAACATGCCAAGAGTTAATTTGGAGAAGAAAGGAATATTCCAAAGTGATAAAATCTACAGTGGCTCACCACCATATCCATCAGATAAGACTTAGAGGACTTTAACTACTGTGTTTTCAATGAGAAATTTCAGGCTGTCTCTGAAATAATGTGTGTGCATTGTTATCTGCTCAAGTATACTGCTTCCTCCTTCCATGGGAGGAAACTGATTTGTGAAGCATATCATTTGTCCTTGGTCCCAGAAAATGAAATGCATGCTTTACAGTAGAAACAAGAATTTTAAATTCCTCTTGGTTCTTCCTAAGAAGGTAGAAACCATATTAAAATCTTACATTTGTATAAGTTTAAAAATGCAAAATTTCACTTAACCGTTAACTTAAGAATAATTTGGAGAATTTGTAAAAATAAAGAAGCCAAGATATGTGAGCAAAAAAAAGCTACAGTTTACTTTATATAGTTTTCTAATAACATTCAAGAACAATTATTTAACTGCCAATATTCTTTTAGCTCAGTCCATCTCAATATTGCCTAATAAAAAGAGCGTGAACAATAAGATGATATGATGAGAAATTGAAATAATTCATTCTACTCCTATTTAAAAAACAGTCTAAATGTTTAAGACTCACATTATGGAAATCCTTTAAATAATCAATGTGTATGCTTTCTGTCAATTTGTTTTACAGCGCAAGACTCACCAGTTTTTTGTAAAATCTTTTACTACTCCTACCAAATGTCATCAGTGTACCTCTTTGATGGTGGGTTTGATAAGACAGGGCTGTTCATGTGAAGGTAAGAACTAAATGGAGGGCAGGCACGTAAGTTCAGTAAGCGTACCTGATTCTAAACCAGGTGAAGAAAGGACCAGTGGGAGGCCCAAATTTCCCCTATATGATGGCCACTTATGTACCTAATCCTGAATTGTGCCCCACATCTTTAAAATAAAATTTTTTTTAAAAGAACAAAATGGAAATAAAATTACTTTAGAGTCCTAACATTTATTTTCTAAATTTTAATCAAATAACTTTGTTCTCTTTAATAGGTATATAAATATTTATTTGTTTTAACTTAACCATTTACTTTTATTTGTATAACAAGAGTGGTGACATTCCCGTCTGTTGAATGTTAAAGAAAACAGACAGATGTTCCCTAGAAATGTTTTTCAGGGGAGATATATTTAAATATGGTTTTCATCTTTGTTTTATTATTTGGGTAAATATGTGGGCCCCCCAAAAAACATTAGTCTGTATGACAGAAGATATGGAAGTTATCCTGAACCTGTTTCATTTAATTTTAACTTAGTTTACTGCATTAGAGAAATTATTATTGAAAAGTACACAGTGTGGTATCTTTTCAGAAATATTAAATGTCTGCTACTATGTCTCAAAGATATTCCTAGTATTAATAACAGAGGGTGTTTTCCCCTACTGTTCACTTATTTATTCATCACATGTTTATCGAATGCCCAATCTGTGCTTCTAGGCATTAGGGATATAGTATTAAATGGGGGGAAAGACAAAAAAATCCTACCCTTACGGAGCTCACATTCTGAGAGGAGAGGGAGAAAGGATCAGGGTCATTTGAAAAGAAAAGTATATTTGTTTAGGCACCACTTTATTTTTCCTAGGACCTCCAAAATGAAAATGATTTAAACTATAATGGGATATAATTGTCTGTGTTTTAGAAATATACTTTAAAAAAAAATCAAATGAAGCCTGCCACTTGAGGGCACTTCAAAAGTTCATTAAAAAATGAAATTTAAAGATAAAAATTTAAAAATATAAACCTTATTTTCCATCATAAGCTCCCTCAAGTTTCAAGACACTTTTGTAAGTGATGATACCCTAAAATCCATCCCTAAAGAACTGAGAGCTCTGGAAATTTAACATGTCAATGTCATCTTTTTTTACATTATTAGCTAAAAAAGAGTTGCTTTTACAGATTTTTTAAGATTAGGAAACAAAAAGAAGTCAGAGGGAGCCAAATAAGGACTGTAAGATGGATGTCTAAAGATTTCCCATGGAAACTCTTACAAAATTGCCCTGGTTTGATGAGAGGAATGAGCAGGAACATTGTTGTGGTAAAGGACTCTCTGGCAAAGCTTTTCTGGGCGTTTTTCTGCTAAAGCTTTGGTTAACCGCTTCAAAGCATTCATCATAACCACATGTTATCATTCTTTGACCTTCCAGAAAACCAACAAGCAAAATGCCTTGACCATCCCCAAAAAACTGTTGCCATAACCTTTGCTTTGACCAGTCTGCTTTTGCTTTGACTGGACAACTTATACCTCTGGGTAACCATTGCTTTGATTATGCTTTACCTTCTGGATCATACTGGTAAACCCATGTTTCATGCCCTGTTATAGTTCTTTGAATAAATGCTTCAGGGTCTTTTTGCCCCCCCATCTGTATGTTAGATTTGGAGGTGCACATGCTTGTTCATTACATGGACATATTGTATAGTGATGGGGATTGGGTCTCAGATGGCCCATTTCCAAGATACGGGAACATTAAGCATTATACTGCATAGGTAATTTCTGAGTCGTTACCTTCCTCCCTACCTCCCTCCTTATTAGTGTCCCCAGTGCTTTTTTCCATGTTTGTGACCATTTCATTCCCACATCTGAGAACATGCAGTGTTTGGTTTTCTGTTTCTGAGTCAGGTCACTTATGATGATGATCTCTAGCTCCATTCATGTTGCTGCAAAGGACATGATTTCATTCTTTGTTTTATGGCTGTGTAGTAGTCCATGGTGTGTGTGTGTGTGTGTGTGTGTGTGTGTGTGTTTTTCTTTATCCAGTCAGTTGTTGGTAGGCATTTAGGATGGTTCCATGATTTTGCTATTGTTAATAGTGCTGCAATAAGCATACAAATGTAAGTATCTTTTTTGAATATATTGATTTATTTTCCTTTGGGTAGATCTCTTGTAGTGGGATTGCTGGGTCAAATGATAATTCACTGTTTAGTTCTCTGAGAAATATCTATAAGTTTTCCACAGAGGTTGAACTAGTTTACAGTCCCACCAACAGGGGATAAACATTCCATTTTCTCCACAACAATGCCGTCTGTTGTGCTTTGGCTTTCTAATAATAGCCATTCTGACTGGTGTGAGGTGATAATCTCATTGTGTTTTTAATTTGCACTTTTCTGATGATTAGTGATGTTTAGCATTTTTTAAATACATTTGGGCAGCTTGTGTTTCTTCTTTTAAGAAGTGTCTATTCATGTCCTTTGCCCACCTTTTGATGGGGTTTGTTTATTCATGTTGAGTTGTTTGAGTTCCTTGTAGATTCTGTATATTAGCCCTTTGTCTGAGGTATAATTCACAAATGATTTCTCCCATTTCTGTTCACTCTGTTGATTATTTATTTTGCTGTGCAGAATCGTTTTAGTTTAATTAAATCCTACTTATCTATTTTAGTTTTTGTTGCAGTTGCTTTTGGGGTCTTTGTCATGAATTCTTTGCCTAACCCAATGTCCACAGGGGTGTTATCTAGGTTTTCTTCTAGGATTTTTATAGTTTCAGGTCGTAGTTGATCCATCTTGAGTTAATTTTTGTATATGGTGAGAGATAGGGGTCCAGTTTATTCTTCTCATAATGACTAGCCAATTTTTCCAGTACCATTTATTGAATAGGGTGTCTTTTCCCCAATGTTTATTTTTGTGAACTTTATCAAAGATCAGTTGTTTGTAGGAATGTGGTTTTATATCTAGGTTCTCTATTCTGTACCATTGGTCAATCTATCCCTGTACCAGTGCCGTGCTATTTTAGTTACTATAACCTTAGAGTATAATTTGAAGTCAGGCCGTGAGATGCCTATGCAATTGTTTTTAGGGTTTTTTTTGCTTAGACTTACTTTGACTACTTGGACTCTTTTTTGGTTCCTTGTAAACTTTAAGATTTTTTTTTTACTTTTTCTGTGAAGAATGAAATTGGTATCCTGATTGGGATTACATTGAATCTATAGGTGCTTTGGGCAATATGGTCGTTTTAACAATATTGATTCTTCCAATCCCCATGAACATGGGATGTTTTTCCATTTGTTTGTGTCATCTACAATTTCTTTCATCAGTGTTTTGTAGTTCTCTTTGTAGAGATCTTTCACTTCCTTACTTAGGTATATCCTTAGGTATTGTGTGTGTGTGTGTGTGTGTGTGTGTGTGTGTGTATGTGTCTGTCTGTGTGTGTCTGTGTGTGTGTGTATGGGATTAAGTTCTTGATTTGATTCTCAGTTTGAGTGTTGTTGGTATATAGGAACACTAGCAAGCTTTGTACATTGATTTTGATCCTAAGACTTTACTGAAGTCATTTATCAGGTTTAGAAGCTTCTTGGAGGAATCTTTAGGATATTCTAGATATACAATCATGTCATTTACCAAGAGAGATAGTTTGACTTCCTCCTTGCCACTTTAGATACACTTTATTTCTTTCTCTTGCTGGATGGTTTTTGCTAGTACTTCCAGTATGATATTGATTAAGAGTGGTGAGAGTAGACTTCCCTGTCTTGTTCCTGTTCTGAGGGGGAATGTTTTCTCTTTTTTTAAATTTTTTTTTATTTCTTTGACTAAGAGTCTCACTCTGTCGTCCAGGCTGGAGTGCCTTGGCACGCTCGCAGCCACCACAGCCTCAACATGCTGGGCTCAGACAATCCTTTTGCCTCAGCTTCTAAATAGCTGGAACCACAGGCTTGCACCACCATACACAACTAGTTTTAATTTATGTAGAGATGCAGTTTCGCGATGTTACCCAGGCTGGTCTCAAACCCATGGGCTCAAGCAATCCTCTCGCCTCGGCCTCCTAAGTTGCTAGGATTACAGGTGTGATCTACCATACCTGGCAAGGGGAAGTGTTTTCAACTTTTCCCAGTTAAGTATGATGTTGGCAGTGGGCTTGTTGTATATGGCCCTTATTATTTTGAGATATGTTCTTTCATTGCCCAGTTTGTTGAGGGGTTTTATCATGAAGAGTTGTTGGATTTTGTCAAATGCCTTTTTTGTGTCTATTGAGTTGATTATATGGTTTTTATTTTTGCTTCTGTTTTTGTGGTATATCATGTTTATTGATTTATGAATATTGAACCATCCTTGCATCCCTGGAATAAAACCCACTTGGTTGTGATGGATAATTTTTTTGTTATGTTGTTGAATTCAGTTTGCTAGTATTTAATTAAGGATTTTAACATCTATATTCATCAGGGAAATAAGTCTGTAGTTTTCTTTGTTTGTTGTGTCCTTGCCTGATTTTGGTATCAGTGTAATACTGGTTTCATACAATAAATTAGGGAGGAGTTTCTCCTCCTCATTTTTCTGGAATGGCTTCAGTAGTTTCAGCTTCTAAAGATTCCTGTCATTTTTATTTCTTTGTGGTTGATTGGAATTTGATCCAGTATAGGATATTTGTTGCTTCCACTGCCCTTTGGAGGAGAGATTTTTTACTTTTTAGTAAAATAAAAGATAACTTATTAGACATGATACTTAAAAGTGAATGCAATCTGGGCATGGTGGCACACACCTGTGGCCCCAACTACTTGAGAGGCTGAGGCAGGAGGCTTGCTTGAGCCCAGGAGTTGGAGGCTACAGTGAGCTAAGATTGTGCCACTACACTCCAGCTGGGGTGACAGTGAGACCCCATCTCTCAAAAACAGAAAAAACGATTTTTTTTAATTAGCAAGGTGTGATGGCACATACCTCTAGTTCTAGTTACTTGGGAGGCTGAAGCAGGAGGATAGTTTAGGCCCGGCCTGAGCAGCAAAGTAAATTGAGGAGTTTGGATCATTTCTGACAGTCATTACTAGTCAATCTTTCCCCTCTATTGGTTGGTTCCATAGTATACATCAGTGATGTGTAGTCTATTTCTCTCACATGTTTGAATTTCCAGTGACATCCCTTTAGTTCCTCTCTTTTTCTTTCCCTGTCATTTTCCAGGATACACCTCTAGGGTGGGAATTGTCAAAATAGATAATCCTAATCTGTAATCCCTCCCAACAAACTTGTTTTAAATATTTAAATATTAGATCTTACCCCATCAGTCTCATTAAAACTTATGAGTTTACTTTTTTATCATCTTAGAATGTTTACTTAGAATCTAAATTTACCATGTGAGTCTCAAAATGTGGTAGCATGGCAATATTATTAGTAGTTACGTATACAGGTCTGAGCCAGATTGACTGGGCTTGAATTTTAGCACTGCACTTACATGTTCTGTGACCCTTGGCAAGTCATGTATAACATAGGAATAGTAACTGTGCCTTCTTACATTGTTATAGAAAAACTTTAAAAATTCAATAAACTTAACTATTATTTATTATTTTAGTAGTAGTTTAAGTATATATAGAGTATGAATAACTCCTAAATTTTATCCTTAATTTGTAGCATTTTAATCATTGAAAATTTTTATTTTCAAGGATTAGTAAAGTTTCCTCATCTTAGTAAAGATATCAGGTAGCTTAAAGTCCGGTGGTGACTCTTGCAAGAGAAACTTCAATGCAGGTACCAAGTTGCAGTAGGATGAAGAGCTAGAAGGAACTAAAAGAATCACTCTTTTAGGAATTCTATGTTTAAATCTATCATTTTATTCACAAGGTTAGATGTTTTTTCTGTCTATTTGCTTATCTTTTTGATCACTAATGTTAACACAGAACAGTAGTATTACAAATAATTTTTAAAATTTTACTATTTCTCGCTGAAATTCTTATTGGTAAGCAAGTGATAATTATTTAAAGTAAAATCAGAGATAACTATTTATCTAACATAGCATTTGCATGCAGTGAGTGCTTGGTAATTTTCTTTTTGTTAAAATGAATTTTTATCAAACATTTCTTTTTTTTCTCTAAAAGTGTGTGGATTCTCATGTCATATAACTTGTGTAAACAAAGCTCCAACCGCTTGTCCAGTTCCTCCTGAACAGACAAAAGGTCCCCTGGGTATAGATCCTCAGAAAGGAATAGGAACAGCATATGAAGGTCATGTCAGGGTAAGTGTGGTTAAATTGGGTTTCAATTAATCTTTTAAGGTTTATTAATGAATCAAAATAAAATCCAATCACTTTAAGAACATTGTACTTGACAGAATATAAATGAGTAAAATGCATCTAATAATTTTATTTCAACTAGAGTAATGATTTGAAAACAAAAAGTCTAGCATTTTTCTGGAAATAAATTCTAAAATATCTGAAACGTTTCTGTATTGTTACTATCTTGTCATAAAATCTTCATAAAGAAGTCTTTAGCACCTGGTCTTTGAGAGAGATGGCACATGGTTATGAATGAGGAGACGTTATGAAGGCATAATCATGTTATCTTGGCTAATACTTACAGTGTAAGCTGAATTTCATTTATTGCCAAATTTGACTTTTGTGCTGTTTAGAAAGAAAATCATGACTGTTATTTTAATGAATTATTGGTGAGTCAAAATGTACCATATACATTTTTTTTTTAGAATATAAAGTCAATGTTTGAGGACTACGTTCTCACGAGTTCTCATGTTAATGATACGTGTCCCATCTGCTGCTTTAAGCAACCAGTGTGGCAGACTTATAACATATGTGTATTACCTTTAGGTTTTCACCATGCAAATTATATATATAATTAGAGGGGCTCTGGTTGACATTTTCATTTGGTTGTTATATTTATTTGTTTGCCTGTTTGTGTAAAACATAAGATTCCTAAGCCAGCTGGAGTGAAGAAAGGATGGCAAAGATCATTGGCTGTAGTTTGTGACTTCAAACTCTTTCTGTATGATATTGCCGAAGGAAAAGCATCTCAGCCCAGTGTTGTCATTAGTCAAGTGATTGACATGAGGTAAGCTTTCTAAGGTAAAAATATTTATATCATTGTAACATAGAAATTTTAAAGTTTCTAATTTTTTAAAAATAGTATTGTCATGGTTTCATATTAATTACCTAACTTACTAATATTACTGTAGTAACAATTAAAAATAGGAGGTCAGCCAAGTGCGATGGCTCATACTTATAATTCCAACACTTTGGGAGACTGAGGCAGCAGGATTGCTTGAGTCCAGGAGTTCAACACCAGCATAGGCAACATGATGAGACCTCATCTCAACAAAAAATAAAAAAATGCTGAGTGTGGTGGTATGTGCCTATAGTTCCAGCTACTCAGGAGGCTGAAGAGGGAGGAGCACCTGAGCTCAGGAGATTAAGGCTGCGGTGAGCCATGATCATGCCACTGCACTCAGCCTAGGTGACAGAGTGAGACCCTTACTCAAAAACAAATAAATAAATAAATAATAGGAGGTAAGGTTAGTATGTGTGTTGAGTGTGTGGAGTTAGGAGTCAAGGAAAAGAAGCTGGTATTTGAGTCCAAAATACCAGTATTAAAGTTGCTGGAGTCATGGAGACCTAATATGTGAAGTTTATATCATCACCTAAAAGCTTAGAGTGTAATTCCAGTATGAGGAAAGAAAATAAAAATCATAAAAGCTCTTGGAAGGCATAATGAGTGAATCAGTTACCATTTAAGTAAGTATAGTTCTTGAATGCTTCTGGTCTCATTTTTCAGTTTCTTCCCTGTCCCTTGAATGTTCTCCTTTACTCCTTCTTATCACTCCAGGCGCTGTCCCTGAGTGATCTTGTTTACTCAACTCTAGCCGTCACCTCAGCCCTGATGCCTCCCAAACTTGTCTCCAGTTCAGATAAATCAATCCATCTCTCACAATGAATTTCCAGCTACAGCTCACATGGACATTTCACACCAGTACCTCATACACTTTCTCTTCTTCCGCAAATACGAAATACAAATACAAGATATGAAGGAATAACTTCAAGAAATATCAGTGAGGGAAATCTGACAGAACTGGCTGACAGGAAGAAGAATCAAAGATAGAACTAAGGTGTCATGCCTTCAAAACCAAGGAAATGATAATACCAATAACAAAATTAAGTAAATCAGAAGAAACAAATTATTGTGGAGGAAATAAGTTTTAGATGTTGAAGGAACAATAAAATATCAGATGAGCTGGGTTGCGGGCACTTAAGATTTATTATTGGAGACAAGAGGGCTCACTGGAGGCTCTGGAAACCTGCCAGAATTCAAATCCCAGCTCTACATGTGTATTTACTAGCCTTGTGGCTTTGGGTAAGCCAGCAATTATTTCTGGCTCTTGTATGATGTGCTGCTGCTAAGTTATTCCTGATAATTATTTGGGGCACTATTAATTACTACTATTAATTAAATAATGAAATTATTTTAAAAATTCATCTTGGGTGTTATGTGCAGTTAAACTTTGAAGATTTTTTCATATGTGTTATGTAGATTCACATCCAAAACCACACACACATAGCCACATATATTAACTTTTAATGTTTCACTCTTCATTCAGGGATGAAGAATTTTCTGTGAGTTCAGTCTTGGCTTCTGATGTTATTCATGCAAGTCGAAAAGATATACCCTGTATATTTAGAGTAAGTGTGTGCATCATAGTTTGATCATTGAATTATTTGTTCTTAATGAGTATGTTTTGCCTCTTCATATAAATCAAGCCTACAATGACTAGAACCAAATCTTATATTCCATATCATCCAATATTTGAAAGTATAGGAAATTGGTACTAATATTTAATTAGTGAAAGACCTGTAGAAAGTATCAATATATGGCTTCTAAAATATTTTCTGATAGATTATACTTTTGAGTTCCAATTCAGTTTTCAAATAAATATTACTACATGGAAAAATTGAGTATGTGTGAGGTTTCGCAAACTCTTAAAAAATAGAAGTTTTGGCTGGGCTCGGTAGCTCAGCCTGTAATCCCAGCACTTTGGGAGGCCGAGGCGAGTGGATTGCCTGAACCTGCAGGTTCAAGACCAGCCCGGGCAACTTGGCAAGACCTCATCTCCACAATAAATCAAAAATTAGCTGGATGTGGTAGCACGCACCTGTAGCTCTGGCTACTTGGATGACTGAGGCGGAAGGATCGTAGGAGCCCAGCGGGTCAAGACTGGGGTGGCCGTGAGTGTGCCACTGCAATCCAGTCTGGGCAACGGAGTGAGACTCCAACTGAAAAAAAAAGTTTCTCTCTTTAAGACTCTCACTTTCAAAATTAATGTGTTTTTGTTACCTAATGCTTTTTAACAACCATTCCAAAACTTAGTAGCTTAAACCATCAATGATTTATTATTTTTCACTATTCTGTGGATCTGCTCTACAGTTCTTGTGGTGTTGGCTGAGTTGACTAATGTGGCTACATTCAGCCCTTTTGGGCCCAGAGCATCTCAAATGATCTCCCTCTTACATCTGGAGACTTGGTGCTGACTGTTAACTGAGTGATCTCAGTTCGACTCTTTGTGGACTCTTCATGGTCTCTAATCATTACATAATCTGACTGAGCTCCCAGTAACTTGCTTCTAAGAGAGCAAAAGAAATTATCAAGACTTTTAAGCACTAGGCCTAACACAGGTATAATAACCTTCGGCATTCTGTTAGTCAAAGCAAGTCATGAAGTGAGCCCAGATTTAAGAGGAGGAGAAATAGTCTCCACCTCTTCATAAGAAAAATGAAATTCTATAGAAGGAATTGTAGGTAGCCATCTTTGGAGGCCATTTACCACTATTAGATCTTGAGTTGGTAAATTAAGACAATTGAAGTTAAAAAAAAAAAAAAAAAGACTACTGCCCTATTGTTATGCCTGTCTGCTTAGTATTTATGAATCTTGTGTCTGAGTACAAGACCAGACAAAGGCTATACTTAGTCTCTTAGTTCCAAACTGACAAATATGTATTCTCCTCCTAACCACCGATGGAACCTATAGAGAGGCCCACTTATCTATAATTGATTTGCATAGTGTGAGTTTATTGTCACTTTTGCTTAAATTACTTTTAATAAGAAATTCATATGTATAAAATTTAAATTTGTTCTGATTGTCAGTGCAGTTTGTATAATAATAAACCTTCATTTAAATACTAATTCAAGTGATCTGCTGGACCTTTGAAAGGCTGTGTTCAAAACAGGCATTATAACCTTTCTACATTCTTAATGGTGATGTGAATTGTTGTAAAGTAACAATGTAAGTATTTCTGAGCATTACTGATTTTTTAAAACAAGTTGAAAGTCAGTATGGTGTATTGCTTAAGAGCATGGACATAGGATCCCAGACTTCTAGTTGTATGCCCTTGGAGATTATTTAATTTCCCTGTATCATAGTTTTTTCATATTTAAAATAAGGATATAATGACAATGCCTAACTTATTAAGATATTAACAGGATTAAATTAGTTAGTACTTATAAAGTGCTTAGATCTACCTGGTGTTCAGTAATTACTCAATAAATGTCAGGTATTGTTGTTATATGCATATGTATGATGCTTTTTTAGTGATAATGTTTTGGCACTTTGATAGCAAGGAAAATAAAAATGATTCTAACATTTTGAATGAAAACTGCCACCTTTGCTATGTCATGCATTCTAGTGTCAAAACTAGTTATTCTGATCAGTAAAGGCGTCATTTAATGAATGCTCATTTTTACTGGTGAATGCTAAGCACACTAACATAATCATGAAACTAGCATAAAGGGTATTTGTTTTCTAATATCATGGATACTGATTAACTTGTTCTAGGTCACAGCTTCCCAGCTCTCAGCATCTAATAACAAATGTTCAATCCTGATGCTAGCAGATAGTGAGAATGAGAAGAGTAAGTGGGTGGGAGTGCTGAGTGAATTGCACAAGATTTTGAAGAAAAACAAATTCAGAGACCGCTCAGTCTATGTTCCCAAAGAGGCTTATGACAGCACTCTACCCCTCATTAAAACAACTCAAGCAGCAGCAATCATAGGTATGAATTTATAACATTTATCATGTCATAATTGTTTACTAATCTACCTTGTGAATAGGGATTGGCTTCCATCCAGGAATCCCCAGTGTCCAACATACTATGTATTATATCACAAATGCTCAGTAAATGTTTACTGAATGAATGAGACCTGTATCAAAATCTTTATTTTTCAGTAAGCAGGAATAAATACACTTTCCAAGTGCATTTTCTTCTGAAAAAATAATAGTGCTAAAGAATAACTTATTCTAATTTCTGCTTGTGTAACTAAGAATAAGTTAATTTTTTAGAGTTTAATGTGTAAAATATAGATAGTAATTACCATTATAAAGTTATTGGGAATTTTAAATAAGATAGATTACAAAACACATAGTGCCCTGCATAAAAATGCCCTCAACAAATGGCAGCTTCTGTGTCAGGAGGTTTAAATTTTTGGTATATTCTTTCATATACAGCCAACTCTTTTGTTACTTTCCAGTAAATACTGAAAACTTCAGTGAGTAGTGTTCAAATGTCTTTCACAATATTTTCCTCCCAAACTAAGAAAGGGAACTAAACCGATGACATTAAAAGCTAGAATCTCCATTTTTTCAGCATTAATTAAATAAGCATTTACTTCTTTTTGTAAGGATTGATGTAGATTATTTTAATGATTATTTTATTCAAAAAGACATGAGATATTTGCCACTGTAATCTGAAAGCAAATGTTTAATAGTGTAAATTGTTATTCCTATATTTTGATTATTTATTTATTTATATCTTTTTTTGTATCAATGTCTTTATTATCTGGTTTAGTCTATTAGCTTTACATGGTTTTACATAATAAAAATGCCTCATATTTATGTCTTACATAGATCACGAAAGGATAGCTTTGGGAAATGAAGAAGGGTTATTTGTTGTGCATGTCACCAAAGATGGTAAGAGAAAATGTCATTATTTTGGAATGATTTAAGTCATATGTTGTTAGAAAATGTTTAGGCCGGGCTTGGTGGCTCAGCCTGTAATCCCAGCGCTTTGGGAGGCCGAGGTGAGTGGATTGCCTGAGCCCGCGGGTTCGAGACCCACCTGGGCAACGTGGTGAGACCTTATCTCTACAATAAATCAAAAATTAGCTGGGCGTGGTAGCGCGCGCCTGTAGTTCCAGCTACTTGGAAGGCTGAGGCGGAAGGATTGCCGGAGCCCAGCAGGTCGAGGCTGCGGTGGCCGGGAGCGGCCACTGCACTCCAGTCTAGGCAACAGAGTGAGACTCCAACTCAAAAAAAAAAAGAAAGAAAGAAAGAAAACGTTTAACTTTAGATTCTAAATTCTAAAAAGAGCAGGATTTGCTATTGTTTATATTGTAACTGAAATTTTGCAGATGTAGATTGATGTTTGTAAATTAAAAGATTATTTGTTAATTTCTACTATCCCCGAGTTCTAAAACTTCAAATGTATATTGTCTTTATTGTGTCATTTTATTTAACAGTTCTGTATAAACTCAGATTGCATTTCTAAAGATGGTACATGAAAAAAAACCTTTATTTTTTTTTTGTTCTATTAGTACTGTAAGAGGTGACAACTATTACAATGTGTTTGTTTGGGGTTTTTTATCCCTGTGGTTCAGTACAACAGATTTTTCTTCTAGGGAGAAACTAAATGCTAGGTGAAATAAAGAGAATCCAATTTAACTTGGTATTCATAAATATAATATGTTTTTATCTTCATATGAAGTTAGATCATGGGGAAACAATACATTTAAATTTTTTATATTTGATTTTAAATATGTGGGGTACAATTCAGGATTAGTTATACAAGTGGACATGATACAGGTAAAGTTTGGGCCTCCCTTTGGTCCCCACTTTGCCTGGTTTGAGATCAAATACCCTTTTTGATGTTACATTTAAATTTCATTAATTTATTACCCATAGAAGTACCTTCAGAAAAATATGAGTTCCTCAATTTCTGAGTTTTTTAAAATAGGAACCCCACAGTGATGGCCCCTAGAATTTAGTACCAGTAAAAAAAAAAAAAAAAATTTTTCCTTGAAAATTTGACATGCTCTTATACAAGAACTTTTTGCCTTGGCTTCCAGAAATCTCAGGGCTAAATGTAATACCTGCTCTAGGTAAGTTAAGTTATCTTATAATAGGTTTAGTTATCTCCTTTTTCTCTGTGATTTCTGATTTCTTATTCTTTCATTTACGCATCTATACGTTGACTTATATGCTTTCCCATCTATACATTGACTTATATGCTTTTGAGTATAATTGGAATATGATTAATAAATACAGCTATTTTTCACTTGATTTATTATTATTTCTGTGTGTAGAAATTATTAGAGTTGGTGACAATAAGAAGATTCATCAGATTGAACTCATTCCAAATGATCAGCTTGTTGCTGTGATCTCAGGACGAAATCGTCATGTACGACTTTTTCCTATGTCCGCTTTGGATGGGCGAGAGACTGATTTTTACAAGCTGGCAGAAACTAAAGGGTGTCAAACCATAACTTCTGGAAAGGTGCACCATGGAGCTCTCACATGCCTGTGTGTGGCTATGAAAAGGCAGGTCCTCTGTTATGAACTGTTTCAGAGCAAGACCCGTCACAGAAAATTTAAAGAAATTCAAGTCCCATATAATGTCCAGTGGATGGCAGTCTTCAGTGAACAACTCTGTGTGGGATTCCAATCAGGATTTTTAAGATACCCTTTGAATGGAGAAGGAAGTCCATACAGTATGCTCCATTCAAATGACCATACACTATCATTTATTGCACATCAACCAATGGATGCTATCTGCGCAGTTGAGATCTCCAGTAAAGAATATCTGCTGTGTTTTAACAGCATTGGGATATATACTGACTGCCAGGGCCGAAGATCTAGACAACAGGAATTGATGTGGCCAGCAAATCCTTCCTCTTGTTGTAAGATCTCTTTCTTATGACTTTCTTATTTCTGTCCTTTTCTTCCATTTCATCTCCTAAAATGTTGTCATTGTTAATAACGGGTTTTTTAAGTAATTCTTAAGATTTTTCCTAAATATTAATTATGTTAATATATATGTAAAAGCTATATGTAGTAACCTAGGCCAAAAGGGCCAACTTTAAAAGGTACTAATCAAAGCTAATCCTTCTGTGGAATATTTTACTGAGATGAATTTTTTAATTTCATGCTGTATTTCAAAATAACCCTAAATTGTTATCTTCATTGTTCCCAAAACATAGTGTTTATAAGCATCAGTAGCACATAGAACATATGCTGGAGAAGTAAGTTACTAAGTGAATCAATTATGTAAAGGTATAGTGTAGCATCTATGAAGAGGTATTACTCAGTTTTACATTTTTATCTAGATAGGTAGGTATTTAACATTGCTTATTTTACTCTTTCAAGAAATGGAGATAGTAATAAATATGTAATACTTTTAAAATACTTTTATTATTGAGTAATAATCTAGTTATTATTGAATATGTGCCTTTGCACTGTTTGAGATATAGCAATGAGCATAATGGACACAGTCTTACCCTCACAGACCATAGAGTACAGTAGAAAAGATTCATGATAAAGCAAGTATGTGGACTATAAGTGCAGTAGACTATAAGTGCTATGATAGCAGAAGTTCAGAGTTCTGTAGAACCACATAGGAGGAGTATCTAATCCAAATTGTTTGTTTTTAATAGGAAATACTTGAACATATTTAAATGCTGAAGGGAAAGAACCATTAAGGAACTACTTCGAAAAGGTTGTCTTTGGGGCATACAGGAAGTAGAGTAAGATCACCAGGAAGGCTAGAGAGGATGAAATTCAGAAAACAGGTGGAAAAATTATTTGGGACAGGAGGAGTGAAACCTCTTCGACTGTAACAAGATAGAAGGAGAAATGATGGGTGTGGGTCTAATCAAGTTTAAAGGTTCAGGGGAAGAATGTTTAGAATGGCAATACATGCTTATTATAGAAACATTAGGAAATCTAGATAAAATGAATGAAAGAAAAATATCTCATATCCTACTCACTCAGACTTAACTATTTTTAATGTTTTGTTTATTCTGAAACTTATACTCTTATCAATGGCTTCATATGTAGAATAAATGTTGTTTTGTAACTGAGTCAGATAGAAATTCAAAGTATTACTTCTAATGTGGAGTAGTAAGAGTTGGAATATCTGACTTTTATAAATAGTTCTGCCAATAATACAATTTGTGACCTAAGTTTAGGTAAATCATTTAATCTGTCTTTGCTGTGTCACCATTAATTGATATTCACTCTTTCAGCAAGTATGTGTTGAACATCTGCCCTGTTTATGTAGGCATGCCAAGGTGCTTTATTATACATTCATAACTGGGATTAGAACACATACTAAAGATTTATCTACTTTGTAAGTTTGTTTCAGTGTCAATAACTTAACTACTTTAGGAATCAAATACTTGAAAATGTAATGCAGTTCTTTTATAGAACTCATGTTGAGCAAGGGAATATTATACCCCTGGTGTTAACAGAATGTTGTGGCTATATAATCTGAGCCATGGTATGTCAATTCTTCATTTACAACTTATATTCTGTTTGCTTTGATCTGGATATTATATGATAACACTAGGATGTTGGTGAATTCTACTTTGCAGTTAGATAGTATAGACCTTTCAAATCTGGGGGTTTAATAGGTAAAAGTAATCAGCAGGCTGTTCCCTCCTTCCTTTCTCCCAGGTTACAATGCACCTTATCTCTCAGTGTATAGTGAAAATGCAGTTGATATTTTTGATGTGAATTCCATGGAATGGATTCAGACTCTTCCTCTCAAAAAGGTAATTTAGCATTAAAATATAGGTTAAGCCAAGTAATGACTATAAACGAAAACACTAATATGACTATTTAGATATTTTTCATTACTTTGGCATTTCCTGTGTAATTGGTGATTGGGACTTAACAAAGAGTAAGAAAATAGAAACAGAAATAAAGCTAGTTAATTTCATTATAAATAACTCAGACCATACTATTTTTATTATATTTAGTTTATGTAAAGTATGTTTGTTATCATGATGAACAACAACAATATATTCTGCAACTTAAGATGTGTTATCTTCCACTTTTGGATTAAAAAACCCTGAGGGAGAATATGATTATTATTAATTTTAACTATTTTCATATAATGGTATATAATGTTTAATCTCATAAGGACATATTTCACAGGCTAAAAAGTGATTAAGCGTAGAACCAAAGCTATATTTGTTTCATGAATGAAAAATGAAAGTTTCACGTGTTCCTAATAAAACTTAATATTTTCTTAATACATCCCTGTGTTTCCATAACATAAAGAGAATTTTTACCTGTATAGAACTGCCATTTTACAAAAATGAAGAGTAAGAATTTCATATAGATATATATGGTATATGCAGCATTTATTATTAGTTGAGGGGCAGGGTTTAGAGAAATAGATAAGAGAAAGTAGCCAAAGCCATATTTTAAAATTTGCCCCAATTTTAAATCACATCAGTAGTTTAAAAAGCTCTGATAAATACTGCAACATTATATAAAGCAACAAAAATGTGCTCTCAATTGTAAATCTGGGTTGGTTACACTTCGTTTTCTGTTTTACTTGTATCATGTAATTTTCACAATATGAAAGAATACATGGTCCTTATGAAGCATAATAATAAACTGATCACTCATGAACCTGCCTCCTAACTTTAAGCTAGAATATTACCAATATCACTGCATCTACCTGGGTATTTCTCCTTTATCCTTTTCCCCTCCCTCTCTCCAGAGAAAAGTCAACATCCTGAATGTTGTGCTTATCATTCTCTTGCTTTTCTTAAAACACAGAATTTTTGCATATTTAAATGTTCCTAAGCAACTTGCTTAGTTTTTCTTGGTTTTGAGCTTTATAAAAATATTATAATGTATTTTCATCTTCTGTCTTGCTTTTTTAGTTATTTACTGTGTTTCTGAGATTCATTCACATTGTTACATGTACACTATGGTTTATTGCTTTTTAGTACTATAAAATAATCTTTTGGGTGAACTTATCACTATTCTTTGCCAGATGTTTGAATTAATTCCTAGCTTTTTGCTATTGTGGACATTGCTGCATATGTCTTTTGGAGTATGTATACAGGATTTTCTTTAAGTCACATGCCTTGAAGTAGAATTGATGGGACACGGCAACTGCTCAGTTTTACGAAATTGTCATACAATTTTCCAAAGTCATTGGACTAATTGATGCTCCCATCAACAGTATATAAGGGTTCCTACCGACCCACATCCTCTCTAGCGCTTTTTGTTGTCAGAATTCATAGTTTTTGTAAATGGTTACAAAGTAGTATCTCAAGTATTAATTTGCATGTCCCTAATTAATTATATGGTTGAAAGTCTTTTTTTTGTTTGTTTGTCATTCATATTTCCTGTTCCATGAAATGCCTGGCCATAGTTTTTGCTTGTTTTTCTGTTGGATTGGCCATTTTTAAAATTTTGATTTATTAGAATTTTTTTATATTGTGTGAATACTGGGTTAATAACGGATATTTAAATCTTTTCTCTTTTTGTAACCTACCCATTTGTATTTAGCTCAACAGAAGTTACTGGTTTTAATGTTGTTATATGTTTCTTTCTTATCCTTTAGGTTTGTCTTTTTCTCTTGTTTAAGAAACTCTTTCCTACCTAAGGGTCATAAAGATACAGCCTTTATTTTCTTCCAAACATTTTAAAACTTTACCTATTACATGTATGTCTTTAATGCCTTTGGAATTGATTTTTTTGTATATGGTATGAAGTAGGGATTCAACTCTGTTGATTCCATATAATTAGTTGCTCCGTGACCATTTATTGACCGTCCTTTCTAGTCCCAGTGATCTGCACTTCTATCCCCATTATTTGGGTGCATTTAGTTTTTGATAATAAGAATTTATAAAGCATCTGTGTTGGTATCTTTTTAGTGTGTATTTGGTTATTATAGGCTTTAGAAAGTCATAGCTTGAGATTTAAATGTATTTCTTCTTAATTTTGTTTACCTGCCCAGGATAGTCTTTCCTTAAATGTTATCATTATAAATTTGTTTGTTCAAATTAGATAATATTATACCTTTCTAGTCAGAATTGTTGTAAAGTTTTTGTTGTTTTTTCTGAGAAGGCTGTGTTTTGAAGCGGATAAATGAAAATTCTTAATAGTGTGTGCTTTATAAATAGGCCAAATGTTTTATGATTTAATTTTTAAAGGTTTTGTTGGAATCCTAATTTAATTTTTATTATTTTAGGTGCGACCCTTAAACAATGAAGGATCATTAAATCTTTTAGGATTGGAAACAATTAGATTAATATATTTCAAAAATAAGATGGCAGGTAAGAAAATATATATATTAATAGAATTGCTAATGGAAATGTTATCTTTAAGTTGACTGCCCTAGGTCACATGAATAATAAGTGTCAATCCAGATTTAAACTCAAGTGTATCTTGCTCCAAGTCTATGATCGTGGTCACTATAACACTCTTTTAATATGTTAAGATAAGCTGTGCTCAGTGGCTCAGCCTGTAATCCCGCGCTTTGGGAGGCTGAGGTGAGTGGATTGCCTGAGAATGCGGGTTCAAGACCCGCCTGGGCAACTTGGCGAGACCTCATCTCTACAATAAATCAAAAAATTAGCCAGGCATGGTAGCGCATGCCTGTAATTCCAGCTACTCAGAAGGCTGAGGCGAAAGGATCACTGGAGCCCAGCAGGTCGAGGCTGCAGTAGCCGGGAGTGGTCACTGCACTCCAGTCTGGGCGACCGAGTGAGACTCCAACTCAAAAAAAAAAAAAAAATTTGTAGACAGTCTGCCTGGCATTTTATATATATGGTATATAATTACATGTGTGAAAGTCTCACCTCACTACCTTGGTCACTGCCCAAAGGACCTTCTCCTGTAACACCCAGGTTTGCATTCTCCTTCCTGATTCTGGGCACTCCTGACTCTCCTCTTGTTGCTGCATCTTCCCATGTTGACATCAGCACTTCAGAAGTGCTAAACCCTAAAGTCCCAAACGGGAACTCTAGATGAGTGTCCACCGAGCCCGGCATGTCTACATATTTTAAATGTGTTTGCCAGTTATAGTATGTCCAAATGGTTTTTAAAAATCTCACTTTTTAACAAATATTATAGTATCCTCTTCTATATAATAATTATTTTCGGGCCAGGCTTGGTAGCTCAGCCTGTAATCCCGTGCCTTTGGGAGGCTGAGGTGAGTGGATTGCCTGAACCCGCGGGTTCGAGACCTGCCTGGGCAGCGAGACCTCATCTCTACAATAAATCAAAAAATTATCTGGGTGTGGTAGCGCGCGCCTATAATTCTGGCTACTCGGAAGGCTGAGGCGGAAGGATCGCCGGAGCCCAGCAGGTCGAGGCTGCGGTGGCCTGGAGTGGCCACTGCACTCCAGTCTGGGCAACAGAGTGACACTCCAACTCAAAAAAAAAAAAAAATTATTTTCATGGATAGCAACAAATTTCTCCATAACAGAGATATTTATACATTTCTGATCTTTTGTGGTAGGTTTATTTAAGATATATTTATGAGATATTATGTATTTACAATAATTTAAATTGACTTAAAGATAAGTAAACACACTGACCTCAAAAAAACACATGAAAACATTTATGCTAGTTATCTCTGGGTAGTGAGATTATTATCTTAATTCTTTTCTTACCTTACCCTCCACATTCCTCCAGTACATTTGTATATTCCACTTTCAAAAAAAAAATCTATCAAGAGTATATTTTTTGTCATTATTGTTTTATTTTTAATTCTGGAATACATAAATTGCTTGGCTTCTGGTTTGGTACATCCTCTTGGAACGGGAGGTTTGTGGTGTACAAACTGGTCACTGTGCAGAAATCTATGATAGGAGGATATTCCAGTATGACTTGAGAAAGGATACTCAGGTACTGGAAGTGTAATCGAACTCAGAGTTCGATTTACCATGAAGCTGATGAAACTTTAGCTTTTAGGCTCTTCACATCCAAGACCCTATACTTAGTTTTGTCCAGACATACCTCATTTGACCACTCTTTGCTTTGTTGCTTTTTACAGATTTGCATTTTTTTTTTTACATATTGAAGGTTTGTGGCACCCCTAAGTCACACAAGTAAAGTCTGTTGGCATCTTTTTCCCTACAGTATGTGTTCACTTTGTAGCTCTCTGTCACATTTTGATAATTCTCTTGTTTTTATTATACTTTTTCACTGTTAGTATATCTGTTATAGTGATCTGTGATCAGTGGTCTTTGATGTTACTGTAGTAATTGTTTTGGTGCACCATGCCCATGTAAATGTTGTGTATGCCCTGACAGCCCCATCAGCAAGCCATTCCTTGACTCCGTCCCTCTCCTCAGGCCTCTTTATTCCCTGAGACACAACAGTATTGAAGTTAGACCAATTAATAACCCTACCATACCTTCTAAGTGTTCAGTTGAAAAGAAGCATCGCACATTTCTCACGTTAAATTAAAAACTAGAAATAATTAAGCTTAGTAAGGAAGGCATGTTGAAAGCTGTCATAGGCCAAAAGCTAGGACCCTGTGCCAGACGGCCAAGTTGTAAAAGTTCTTGAAAGAAATTAAAAGTGCTACTCCAGTGAACACATTAATGATAAGAAAGTGAAGCAGACTTTTTCCTGTTATGGACAAAGTTTGAGTGGTCTAAATAGAAAATCAAACTAGCTACAACTTTCCCTTAAGCCAAAACCTAGGCCCTCTCTTCAATTCTGTGAAAGCTGAGAGAGGTAAAGAAGCTACAGAAGAAAAGTTGGAAGCTAGCAGAGGTTGGTTCATGAGGTTTAAGGAAAAAAAATCATAACTTAAAAGAACAAGGTGAAACACCAAGTGCTGATGGAGAAGCTGCAGCAAGTTATCCAGAAGATCTAGCTAAAAATAATTGATGAAGGTGGCTACACTAAACAATAGATTTGCAATGTAGATGAAAATCTTCTATTGGAAGAAGATGCCCTTTAGGACTTTCGTAGCTAGGGAAGAGAAGTCAGTTCCTGTCTTCAAAACTTCACTTGACTGACTCACTTGTTAGGGGTTAATACAACTGTTGACTTTAAGTTTAAGCCAGTGCTCCCTTATCTTTCAAAAAAAATTGTAGGGCTCTTAAGAATTATGCTGAATCTACTCCGGCTATGTTCTGTAAATGGAACAAAAAGGCTAGGTGGCAGCACATCTGTTTACAGCATGGTTTGCTGAATATCTTAAGCACACTGTGGAGACCTACTGCTCAGAAAAAAAGAAACAAAAGGATTCCTTTCAAAATATTATGCTCATTGACAATGTACCTGGTCTCCTAAGAGCTCTGATGGAAATTGACGAGATGAATGTTGTTTTCATGCCAGCTCACACAATATTCATTCTGCTGCCCGTGAATCAAGGAGTAATAATTTCTACTCTTAAGTCTTTCCATTTAATAAAGAATACATTTTGTAAGGTGATAGCTGTCATAGTGGTTCTGCTAAAAGATCTGGGAAAAACAGTTGTAAACCTTCTGGAAAGGATTTACCATTCTAGATGCCATTAAGAACATTTGTGATTCATCGGAGGAGGTCAAATTATTGACATTAAATGAATTTGGAAGAAGCTGATTCCAACCCTCATGGATGACTTCGAGGACTTGACGTCTTCAGTGGAGGAAATCACTGTAGATGTGACTGAAAGAGCAAGAGAATTGCTAGAATTAGAAGTGATCCTATAGATGTGACTGAGTTGCTGTATCATAATAAAACATTAACAGGTGAAGAGTTGCTTCTTAAGGACGAGCAAAGAAAGTGATTTCTTGAGATGGAATCTGATGTTGGTGATGATGCTATGAATGTTGTTGAATGACAAAAAGGATTTAGAATTTTACCTAAACTCAGATGATAGGACAGAGGCAAGGTCTGGAAGATTGAGTCGAATACTGAAAGAAGTTCTGTGGGTAAAATGCTATCAAACAGCATTGCATACTTCAAAGAAATTTTTCATAAAAGGAAGAGTCGATCCATGCAACAAACTTTTTGTCTCAGTTGAATAAATTGCCATAGCCACCTTAATCTTCAGCAGCCACCAACCTTATCAGTCAGCAGCCATCAACATCAAGATGAGACACCACCAGCAAAAAGCTTATTACTCACTGAACGTACAGATGATTCTTAGCATTTTTTCACAATAAAGTATTTTTTAATTAAGTTATACACATTGTTGTTTTTAGACACAATGCAGTTGCATACTTAATAGACCTCAATATAATGTGAACATAACTTTTATAGGCACTGGGAAAACAAAAAACTTGTGTAATTCACTTTATTGTGGTCTGGAACCAACTCTGCAGTATCTCCAAAGTATGTCTGTATTCTCTCTTAGAGAAACTCCAGATATTTGTATGAGATTGACTCTACCCTATTCTCACTGTGTGTAACCATGCTGGTTATAAAAATGTGTCCATATTCCCTCTGCATATCTTTAGGACAATGTGTATTCCAACTTGTCTTTTCCCATGCTTTCATCTTTCTACTCTAGGCTACAAGTAAAGGTGGAGCTTAGAGAAGGGAGAGCTGACAAAACTTTAATAGTTGTCTTGTTTTTTGACAAAGGAAGGAAATCTCATTTCCAAGAGATCCTTTCTTTTTCTGTTTCTTGCTTTCTCCTCAGTCGTCCAAGAATTCAAAGTGCTTCTGCAGCCTTCTGGCTGTTCAAAATCTTCCATTGCCACCGTAATTCTCTAAGACCTTCTTTACAAACCTCATAATCCTCAAATTCCAAAATTGTGTCCCACGTTCTCATTCACCTTAAAAATTCCATTCTCTTAACGTTTATTGTTAGGAAAGCAGTCTGACTAAGCTACATTTTTATACTAGAAGAATATTGTCACTTTTTTGATAACTATCTGCTTTGATTTATTTACAGGCCCGTTGGCATCTTTGCTCCTTCTTCTCACTTTAGCTTTCTGGGTTTTGAAAATTTCTGAAGATTACTTTTTATCTTTTTCCTTATTTTATTTAGATAATGACATCTCCTGTCACATTATGTGTATACAGTTGTCCATTTCAACCTTATAGTGTGTTCACATAGCCCAGCATGTTTTGTTTACTTCTAGATACTAAGACTGACATAGGATAAGATGGGCACTGGATTACTAGGTGTATATGATTAAATATCATCTCTTCCCAAGATCAGCAGAGTAGAAATAAAGACAGATTCTTACCTTTAGGAAAGGAAAATAATGCGAGTACAATTCCTTTTCCTTTCTCCATATCTTGCAGCTATAAAAAAGGAAATTTTTTATTATTTAAAAATAATTGTAATTCTTATTTACATGAATAACTTGTTGATGGAAGAAACTGTCTGACTACTGTGTGAGTTAATAATAGCAGCTTTTTAACACCCTAAGTCATTGAAACCAACACCTGGAAGGAGAGGGAAACAGTGTGTAGATATTGAGATGGGGTGGCTAGTCAGTGATAGGATACCAAGGCAATTACAGTTTTTTTTTATAGTAACATTAGGTCATATTATGCTTATAATCAAGTAAAAGTGAAAATTTATTTTGTAAGCTGTGTTTAGTTTCAACATATATCTGTTTACATATGTTCTGTTGAAAATTATTTACTATGTTATCAACACATTACTGTTTTAAAAATCAAAGTTGCATATACTTGTATAATTAATGTTTTTACTGTCTTGGAGATTCGTGAATGAAAAGCATTTTAGTAGTTAAAACAACATCATTATTCTTTTTATATTTTTGTAAACAGAAGGGGATGAACTGGTAGTTCCTGAAACATCAGATAATAGTAGGAAACAAATGGTTAGAAATGTTAACAATAAGCGGCGCTATTCCTTCAGAGTTCCAGAAGAGGAAAGGATGCAACAGAGGAGGTAGAGATGTAATTTATACTATATCCATATATCCTTGTAGCATCTGAAGGACTATATATAATGCTATAATACCATATTTGATTTGAAAGGAAAATTTGATATCTGAAAATCTGTCATTCTCCTGTGGTGTCAGAAACTGCAATAATAAATGTAACTTCTCAGTGTCACTATAAATATTCCCAAAGTCATGAGTTTGCATTTAATTAAAGTACCTTATTTTTATTTATTTATGTATGCATATGAAATAGTTATAATTTTTGTAATGTGTGCCTTCTGCAGTGTATGCATATAAACATAACTGTGCTACAGTAAATCTAAGAAGTTCAGATTAATTGTTCTCTTCATGAGCAAACAGAAGTAGACTTGTAGTATAATCCCAGTTACATATAAAAACATTTCTAAAACATTATAAATTATCTTTAGAAACATAAAATTCAGAATTAACTATAAAATACAACAGAAATACCTTGGTATCTTAAGTATTTTAAAGGACCCTCTCTGTTTTTCCACCCCAAATCATAATATCTGTTATTTAAAATTTAAAACAAAGCAGGTATCATATCTACCACCTAAGTAAGGGTGGGTATATTCTGTATTCTAATTTATTCTTATTAATGTGAACTATGAGTTTTATTTTTAACTTAAAATAAGTAAGTATGCTTGATTTTTTTCATAAGTTATCTAGACTGTGAACACAATGACTAAACAGTTGTCTTATCTTACAGAGAGATGCTACGAGATCCAGAAATGAGAAATAAATTAATTTCTAACCCAACTAATTTTAACCACATAGCACACATGGGTCCTGGAGATGGAATACAGATCCTGAAAGACCTGCCCATGGTAAGAGGAATGAAGACTGAATGTGAACATTAATGGTGGAAAGAAATATGTGTATATATATTCTTAAAAACATACATATACTTCAAAGGACATCTTTCTTTGTTTTTCTCAGTATGTCATGATATCTAAGAAGTATGATGACATAACTGATAAAGAAAACATATACTATAGACATCTGTCAGAAAACAAGCCAAGTTCTTTTTTAGTTCCATACTCTAAAAACTTCTCCCATACCTAGATTTACTATTGTTGATGGGAAGAAACTGCCAGATACAGAGAGGTTCTGTACCAAATTCAGAACTTGGCTACCAAATCACTAAAATTTCACTAAGTTTTAGCAATTCAGTGCAGATATTTGGTCTACTTTCATTTTCCAAAGAACTGCATGAGCTTGGTCACTAATGGTCCCACCTCTCAGCAAATTGTAAAATTAAATATTTTTCCTTTGTCCAATTACAAACATGTCACCTGGTCAGTCATACATTAAAAAGTAAACATAGAAAAACTTGTATTTTAGCAATATGAAGATTAGTTCTTAGACTTGTTATATTGAGATTAAGAATATTAGTGAAATTAGCTAATAATTATCCTGGCTTTATTTGTGATTAATATTTCAGTATCAGCACTCTCAGCAAACTATAAAAACTTTAATATGGCCCTCTTGGTTGGTGGTAATGACAGATAAATTTCACACAGAATTGTAAGTATAATTTTATGGCAATTTGAGAGATGATTTGTGGTTACTTGTAAACCAAATCTCTCTCAATTAACCACATTATTGACATTACTGTGATAGAAGATATGAACGTCTATCACTAAGAGGGAAAAAATGATAGATAATAATATAGTTTCATGTGCAGTCAAGTAGTTTTGAATAAAAAACTAAACTTTTAAAGGGAGTTTTGCACTTATTTCACTGGCAGGAAAAGAAAAGTCTGCATTTATTTATGTCTGAGTTTTTCATTGTAAATATCCCAATTAACAAATTGGCTCTGCTTAACTTACGAATGAATGTAACATTCTTATTGTTGCCATTTTTTCATCATCAAGACATTATTGTTATATGGTCATTGTATTATATCTTCCTTTATGGAGTTCAAATCATCCACAATAGTCACTTATTTTTTTCAGAATAGAGATTTTTATTAGCTGTGCTGAGCAAATATAAATAAAGTATGCAAAAACTAGATCGCAGCTTATAGTCATTTAAACTAAGTAAAAAAAATTAAGGTTGAGTAAATAAAAAACTGCTCTACTTGTCTATGGTGTTTTAAAACTATACTATTTTTTCTACCTTTTGCTTAGGAGTGATCTCAAATTTCTCTTCATTCTTTTCCCATTCTGAGCATTTGCTTTAAGTCCTCAGTTTAGCTTTCCTTTAATCTCAGAAATAAATATAACTTAACCATACTGTCCGAAGTGTCTGTTGTTTTTCCTTATGGAAGGTATAATGTCAGGCACAAAATAGCTTAATAGAAATACATATTTATAGTTTATATTTGATAAATCAAGTGTTATATGTTATTTTAATTAAACTTTGAAATTTAGTTAGTGAATAGTTTTTTCAGTATATGATATATAATTAGCATTACTTAAGGATAGAGAGATAAAAATTTCAAACATATGTATGTGGAAACGTAAAACATTAGCAAATGCAAAATTATTTTAACAGTGAATAAGGTTTTATTAGATAACCTTTTAAAACTAAAATTTATTTCACTTTGGTTTTATTTTAGTACACAGAAAAGAATATATTTTTGTCTCATATTCCAACATGGCAAGAAAAATTATAGAAAATTATGTAGAAATTCTGTTATATCCTACATACAGTATTTTTCTTAAGATAGAATAGTTTCAGTATTTAGCAAAATGTTATTCTGCTTGTATTCTTCTGCCATCAGGTGAAAATCCAGTTGCTAATATCAGAGTCCTTTCAGACCTTCATATCCAATAAGACATAGTCTGATGCTAAATATCAAATTTCAAACATTGTATGAACTTTTATGTCAAAGCATTCCTCCTTACCCTACTTTTTCTCCCTTCACACTTCTACAACTTAAAGTAAAAAAAGAAAAAGAAAAAAATGTGCATTTTAGTTTTTGATCAAAATAAGGTCTAGTCTTTATTACCAAGCAAAACAAATTCTAATAGCATTTCCCAAATATTTATTCTCCAGCAGCCTCCATAACACATGACCTTCCGTGATGGCGGCTTATTCCAATTAGACCTCTTGCTTCTTAGTGTTAGTTGTCACCTGATCTTGTTGACACATGACCGTCTTGTTGGTTCTTTTTGACATTAATACAAGTGACTTTCTGCCCTATTAATTCATTCTAGATTTTGATGTGCCTTCCATTCCTTTAGTGTTTTCTTATCCATGTAAGTGCGTTTATATTTCCAGGACAAGAAGTTGGTATACATTTTTGAAACCTGATTCTTCAACTGTACATATAGTATGCATCAAAGATCTTATGTGTCTGAATTCCTGTTCTTCACAACCAAATTTTATTTTCACATGCATTTTTTTCATTTCACTACCAAGGGATATATAAACTGGAGTCTTTATATAGAAACCCATTTAATCACCTAACAAAAATTTATTGAGGACTTACTTTGTGCCCAGATCAATGGTAGACACTGTTAAACAATATAATAATATGCATGTCTGAATTATAAAATAATATGCATGTCTGAACCTGTGTATGTATCTGTTGAAAAGCTTATGATATTTTTATAAATTTTCAGATTTTCATATGTTCTTTCCATTTAATTGGAATTATTATTATCTATCTCCAAAAAATAAAGATCAATTTAATTTATCTAATGTTAACATATACAAGAGCTTTAAAATACCAAAGCCACATAGTGTTACCTGTGCAAAGAGCATGTTTTCCCAGACCCCATTTTTATGTTTTAATTTATTCAAATCATTATTGCCTTCCTGTGAAATACTTACAATCTTACAAAGTGTATTAGATGACTTTAGAAGCTTAATTCTGTTTCTTTTATACCTAATGATCCTGAAATAGGATTGTTTCCTTTTTGAATCGGGAAGGGACAGTAAAGCTAAGGCTAAGATTTTCTTACCTCCTGTATCAGAGGCAAACCTTTTATTTGTATCTTTGTGAGTGAAGAGAATATAAGCAATGAGTATAAGATGAGATGTGTGTCTTTAAAATATGCACTGTATAGCTTTCTTGAATCTTTTTTTTTTTTTTTTTGTCAGAATCTTACTCCGTTGCCCAGCCTGGAGTGCAGAGGCACAGTCACGGCTTACCACAGCCTTGATATTTTGGGCTCAGGCAATCCTTCTGCCTCAACCCCCTGAGCCTACAGGCATGCACCAGCTAATTTTTTTTCTTTTTTGTGTTGGAGTCTCACTCTGTTGCCCAGGCTGGAGTACAGTGGCATACTTGTGGCCATCCCATTGTCAACCTGCTGGGCTCTGACGATCCTTCTGCCTCAGCCTTCCAAGTCGCTGGAACTACAGGCACACGCTACCACGCCCAGCTAATTTTTTTATTTATTTATTGTAGAGACGAGGTCTCGCCAAGTAGCCTAGGCTGGTCTCGAACCTGTGGGCTCAGGCAATCCACTTGCCTTGGCCTGCCAAAGTGCTGGGATTACAGGCTGAGCCACCAAGCCCAGCCTCAACTAGGTTTTTAACTTTTTTTTAGAGAGGAGGTGGTCTCAAACTCCTGGCCTTGAGCATTCCTCCTGCCTTGGCCTCCCACAGTGCTGGGATTACAGGCATGAACCACTCCAGGTCTTCTTGAATCTTTTTTATTATTTACCTTTTTTTATAGGTGGTCACTGGTAATAAAAGATAGGTTTTTCTCCATTTGAATGCAAGATTAATATTTTATGTCTAGGAGATTTATTTTTAGCACATTACGTTTCTTCTAGCCTTTTGTCCATTCCTAAAATTGTTAATAAAGATAAATTTTCTCTTGGGGCTTTAATAAGTAATTTTTATTCTTAAAGTTATAGTTACTTGTACACCAATAGTTTTTTTTCTTTTTGGAAAAAACCTCAGAAAGTACTGCATTTACTCATATATCTGGAATAAGAATAATATCTTACATAGGAGTCTTTCTTTTTAAGCCCAGATAATTTATGAGATCCTTTTATTTAACATGCTTACCTCATTGGAACATAGATGCCATCCTGGGTCCAGTCAGCATCCTCTCCAGCTAGTCATTTAACCTCTGTGTCTAATAAAGGGGTTACATTTTCTGGAAACAGTTGTTCTTCAAGAACTGAACCTCGAAAATTTCTATTAGAGAAGGTGACTGACCACTGAGTGATGGTTCCCAAATAAATCTTCAAAAGTAGTTATTTTATCTGAAAAAGTAAGAGTCCTTGGCTTCAAAAGCCTTTTTCTATATCTTTCATAACACATTGTTTCATTTTTTAAAAATATACTTGAATATTGAAGGGGAGAGTTCTTTTGGATGTCTAAATGGAGATGAGCTTGAGCTGCTTAAAGATAAATTGATAATTAGTGTGTTTCATAGTTACTCACTGTTTTGTTATAAGGGAAATAAGATCAGTAAAAGCAAACACATGATTAGAAATCTGTGAATACCAGAGAATGATTTTTAAATGGTTTTAGATTTCTAAAGAAGTCATTTCATAACACCTATGTAGTTAGAAACTGTTGTAAGGTTCACTTGTCCTTTTCTTGCTAGTTTCTTGCTTTTTCAATCCATAATATTTTTGTTAAACTTTTGCTATGTTTTTTGTGTCACATTAGAAAACACTGAACTAAACTCTGAAAATCTCCTTGCATCTGTGAGTTCAGTTTCCATTCACTTAACTATATTAATTTTTTAAAGTTTATAGGGAGAATGATCTTTTGCAAATCAGCTATTTAACTGGTAAGAGTATTGCAAAGCTTAACTTTCTAAGATCTGTAAGTATTTCACTAAGAATTTAGTTCTGATGTAAGATACTGTTTCATTTGTTCTGCATGCATGTTGTCTAAATTGTGAATCCATTTTCATTACCTTATTACCTTTTTTTCTTCTTTCTGTTGATAGCCAGGTTTCCCTTATCCATCCCCTCATCATCACTCCGGTCTGATCTCCTCTCCGATCAACTTTGAGCACATCTATCATATGACTGTTAATTCTGCTGAAAAATTTCTCTCTCCTGAATCCATAAACCCTGAATATTCCCCGTCTCTACGCTCTGTCCCTGGTACACCAAGCTTTATGACTCTGAGGGTATGAACAGCTGAGTCAGGTGTTAACTTTTACTAACCGTGTACAGATTTCCTATTGCCTGGCTTAATAAGTAACACTGCTGAGGTGGCACCATCTTGTGAACGTTTCCTTTGACGTATTATTCTTCTACCAAACTTCTACTCTTTTTCTTCTATTTATCTTCCTCTTCCTCCTCTTCCCTTTCTTTTTTATTTTTGAAGCAGTATTAAAGATTTATCTGTGTTTAATAAAAGATTTTTTGTACCCCGCATCTTTAAAGTAAAATAATAATAAATAAAAAAATAAAAGATTTTCCCATCTTGGTATTTTCCATTTCAGATACCATCATAATAGATAGCCCTCAAGTGGATCTTTAGTCTATTAAAACAAACAGGCCGGACACAGTGGCTCATGCTGTAATCCCAGCACTTTGGGAGGCCGAGGAGGAGAGATTACATGAGCCCCAGAGTTCGAAACCAACCTAGGCAACATAGCAAGAACCCATCTCTAAAAGATTTTTAAAAATTAGCCAGATGGGGTGGCACTCACCTGTAGTCCCAGCTACACAGGAAGCTGAGGCAGAAGGATTGCCTGAGCCCATGAGGTCAAGGTTGTGAACAGTGATTGTGCGACTGCACCACAGCCTGGGTGACAGAGTGAGATACCAACTCAAAAAAAAAAACAGAAAATGACTTCCAGAACTTCTGAAATTTTTAGCTTATTAGCCTGTACCTGGTTCTATGCAGCAAAATGTTTTCTATTTAGTGAGGCAAAAGTCTGTGGTAAAATCTATCCACAGATCTTCTATCTACAATAAACCCCTCTTTGAAAAGCTTAAAAATCTCCAAAATTTAAAAAAACTATTAATGAATAACAGAATTCCAAAAATAAGGTATATTTTACTAATCTTTGAGTAGCTGATAGGCATTTAATTTATTTCTGATCCAAGATAAGAAAACTAAATCAAAGAGAGAAAAGACAGCATGACCTTGAAGGACCATGGCCTCTACTGCCAATCCCTCTCATTCAGCCTTACATCTTTGCTACCAGTGGCTCTGCGGTGGGATGGAGAGCTGGTGACCTTAGAAGCTGAACGTCTGTCTGTCTATCAAGTGGTGTATGCTTATGCTAACTTCAAGGGAACATTTTCTGAAGTTAGCTTGTCAGATAATAAAATATTTGCTTGTATCATGCAGACCATTTCCCATAATGTCCCCTGCCTTAGAACAATATTAACATGGATTTTTTTATTTGTATGTATATGTAGTAATTAGAAAATTGGCTATTGGTAGGAAGTTTATTTTTTACTTGTAAGGTTATTCTAAATTATGTTTTAAATGTCATTGTCATTGACATTAAATTATTATACCACTTAAGCATCTTATTTGACAAAATAAGATAAACCATAATAAAAATAAACCCTAGTTTTTTCAATAACAGATTACAAGCAGCGAATTCCAGAGGAATGTTGTATAAGCTAATCAATCAAGAACTTTTCATATAAATGATAAAAGTATTGCTTAAGTTAGTCATCTAAAAGTAGAAACACTGCCATTAGAAGTTTCTTTTTCAATTCAACATTCAGTATTATTAAGCTAGTGGCATATTTCATAAGCTTAATTTTTACCATTTATTCTAGGCTAGGCTTGTTTCTTGTAGAAACAGACAACACCATTGTGTTTTAAGATTTATAGAAAAAAAAATAACACATACAGCTTAAAACTGATTTTCTCTTTTGAGCTTTTCTTTGCTGCATTATTCACACATTGCTTGTGTCTAATAGGGTGCTCCTGTATATGTGAATGTTGAATTGCTGATATTGACTTTTTCAGTTTTAATTTTTATTTTTCTTAGAGACAAAAATGATTAAGCATTTGCTTTAAATAAATAACACAGTAAGAATTACATGGACTTTGCAAATTTGGTAGATGAACTAAAATGACAGTGATTGAGTTTGGGGCCAGCTAGCCAACTTTCAATATGTGTGATTCTTCAAAATTTATAATTTGGAGTTTTTTACATGGTATTATTGCTTGTTTTCCTGATTCATAGCTTTGGCCTTTTAATTATTTTGCCATGCCCTCCTCTCAGGTCGTTTCAGATGTAAACCCAGTGCTGCAAACTTACTCAGAGCTTATAACCTCTCCTTGGAGTTTCACAATTACATGACAGCTGGAAACCAAAGTTCCAATTCTAGATTTTTATTACAACTAAAAATATTTTCAAACACATTAGTACTTTCTTTATTGCTTATTTCATAGAATTCTATGTTAAATTTTTTATGTATACTATATTTTAGCAAAGAGAGATGGTTATCCTTTGTTGTGTTTGCATTTAAATTGGGTTATTAGAAGAATTGGGTTATTGATTCCCAGAAAATGTTACTCTGCCCAAACAAAGCAAGTAAAATGTATTTTGTGTCTTTGCAATGCACATACATACACCCCCACACACTTGTAACATCAAACCAATAATAACTAGAGCACTATATGTTCTACAGAAAGGATTATAATTTGAAATTACATTGCCAACTGCATTAATCCCAGCACTTGAAGTAGAAAATTGGGATTGTAGGTATAATGTATGCATTTATTCAGCAAATTTTTTCAGCATATTATAGGTGCTGGAGTTTAGTGTCATAGTAATAGTCAATATAAGAAATGATAAGGTGATTAAGAAATGAGGCTAGGAAGAGTCATGCACTGTGTGCTTACTGAATAGCCAAGGCAAACTAAATTGTCATCTCACACAAGCCGAGATCCCTGACAGGGTGAGTGTGGAGGAGGGCGTGCCTACCAAAGTGTTCCTCTGGTTTTCTATGTTTAAGCGGAAGGTGTGAGAACATTTAGTGAAACATATAAAAGTACTTCAAGTATTTAAGCCTTTCCTCTTGCTGAAACTTGTAAAGCCATTTAGGTAACATGGATTTCTATTAACATGAAATAACAAAGTCATGAGCAAACATGACATACCATGAATAATTAAATTTAATTATCAATTGTATGGCAGGTATGTATATAAATTTATGTGATGTATTCTCTAGTTTATGCCAGCAGAAGTAAGAATATTTCCTGAGCCCCAAATGATTAAAAAAGATATAATGTTTTTGAAATAATAAAATGAGACCATTATAACATTTTAGAGTACACTAGTTAGCTTGGTGTTCTCTTACATCTGAAAAAAGGATAATATGATCAACTTTAAAAAAAATTATATTGGAATAAAAGGTAGGCAGGAAAACATTAAATTGTTAATCATACCTGGTGAATTCACAGGTGACTTTTTTGAGTATCTTGTCATTTCATTATTATTTAAATAGCCTATAGTTCATGAGTAATACCTTTATAATCATAAAAAAGCAAAGAATTTTAATAACTAGTTGGCATTTAGAGAACAACAGGCTAATAAATATATTTTCCAGTCACTTTTTGTTATGTGTTAGTGGCCTTGACTATCTGTGTTACTTTCTGATCATGCAGAAAAAGATGAACACCCTGTAGTAATGTTAGCCTATATGAGGAGAGCATCTCTTTTCAAAGGAAGGTTTCACATTACACTTAACTCAGACTAATTGGCTTTACTTTACAAATTGGTCCTTTGGAAAAGTCACAAAATTTGAATTTTTGACTACTTCTGACGTGACTTTTCCATTGCATTTTCATTATAGAGTTATGGTCTTATTTAATACATGTAAAACTTGTGACTCCCCCCTCACCCCCAGCAGAACTGCGGTTTTGATGTGACTGAAGGGAAGGTTGAAAGTGATCCTGCAGATGGGAGTGTGAGGTCTTATCAGAGCAGGAAAACGAAGGGTACCTAGTGGGACTGAGTATGCGCTTTTTTATTACTTTAACTCTCTGGAACGCCCACTGAGGCAGTTATTATCCCCATAAGACATCTGAGGAAACTGAGGCTCAGAGTTTAACAAACCTGAGACCTCCTGTCATCAGCTGTTTGGCACAGATGTGAGCAGTGGTCTGTTTCCCCCCGTGGCCTGTCCTCATGCCATGCTTTCTCGTGAACAGCCAATAAAGGAGTGGGAAGGCCGACTGCAAGTAGGTGCTGTGGAATATTAAGACTACCGTCATGGTTGTGGCTATGAAAGAAAACTTAAGTAGATAAATTTTCCAAATAAACGTGCGTGAGTCAGTGTATAAATTATAAGAAATCAAATCCAGGCGGGCTCGGTAGCTCAGCCTGTAATCCCGCGCCTTTGGGAGGCTGAGGTGAGTGGATTGCCTGAGCCCGCGGGTTCGAGACCCGCCTGGGCAGCGAGACCTCATCTCTACAATCAATCAAAAATTCAGCCAGGCGTGGTAGCGCATGCCTGTAATTCCGGCTACTTGGAAGGCTGAGGCAGAAGGATCACCAGAGCCCAGCGGGTCGAGGCTGCGGTGGCACTCCAGTCTGGGCAACAGAGTGAGATTCCAACTCAAAACAAAACAAAAAAAAGAAATCAAATCCAGACCATTTGCATCAGAAAATGCTTACATGAGGCTGAGACTATGTGAACAAATGGAGAAAGCATTGTGAGTGGTAAAAAAAAGATGCTAATAACATGGCATATGCAGTGTGCCCACTCAAGGATTTATAAAGAATGTGGAGATGCTTTCCCTCCTCTGGACTTTTGTCAGTTCTGACGGCCCCTCCTGGTCTGAAGAGCTTGGCACCATTAAGGAGGTTCATGCTTCCTGTTTGTGGCCACGTCCAGAGAACTCACCCTCACAATCCTCCATGCCTCTCCTTTAGGCATGCATGGCTCACAAAAAACATTGTGGCCCGTTTCCCTACCTTGGGTGCCAAACTTGTTCAGTAATTCGATGGGAAGTTTTTCAAGCTCATGTTCCCAAATTAACTAGCTTCGCCCAGGTTGAAGGTTACTACATTGTATTTCCAGCTCACAGTGCTGTTCTGTTGGTATGAGTCGGTATGGATGCCTGCGGACAGGGCATGAATGTGCAGATGGCACATTGGGTATCACATCAATAAAACATTGTTTTGAGGAGAATGCAATTTTAGTTGAATTTCCTCCAAATGGACTCATTCAGCTGTTGAGTTATCCTAAGCAAATAGAATTTCATGCATAGTAGTTTCGTTTCAGTTACCTGCAAATGTCCATGTAATTCTATACTTCATTGTCACGCCTAACCATATAACTTTTACTTACTGTTTTCACAATGAACAAAGTTCTATTTATTGATAAGGATTTCAATAAGTAGAAGTACTTGATTAGGCTGAGATTTACTTCACATTAGGGTTTTAGAACTTCCATGGGTGGATTATACAATCTGCCCTCCCTTTTCTGTTTCATTCTGGTCAAGATAAATTTATTTCTGATAATTATTGTGAAAAATAGACATCTCTGCAGAAAATCAGTTTACCTCTAGCTGAAGAATGTCTGTTTCACTTTTGTTTTAGAACCCTCGGCCTCAGGAAAGTCGGACAGTATTCAGTGGCTCAGTCAGTATTCCATCTATCACCAAGTCCCGCCCGGAGCCAGGCCGTTCCATGAGTGCTAGCAGCGGCCTGTCAGCAAGTAAGTGGTCCAGGCTGCAGGGAGGTGCTTCCGTGGCAGGGCGGCCCCCAGCTGCCTCAGTGCCCTGCTGTTCCCATGGGTGACATGTTCTTTACTTACATGTGCCTAGTGTACCCTGGAATGGCTAGTGTCTCAGCCCCTGCTGGTTAATGCCTAGTAGGCGAAAATGCAGTCGTGAAGAAGATAGTTCTGGAGTCCTCCTAGGGCTTCCAGGCCATGTGAGAAACAGACAAATATGACTACAAAATGATAAATGCCCTGAAGGAAATAAACAGGGCACAGTAATAGAGGATAATAAGGGTAGCTGTTGGAGATGAATTCCTACTTAGAAAGAATAATTAGGAGAGCCGCATCGCCTCCCTTGAGGTGGAGTCACGTTCGAGTGATGTTTGATTAACTGAAGGAAGGCCAGTGTGTCTATGTGGTGTGGTGAGGCAGTGATAAAAGTCAGCAAGAGAAGCAAGTAAGGTCAGATCAGCAGGGACTTGAGCAAGGTAAGACTTTTGTTTATTTTATTCGAAATGCAGAAGGAAGCTTTTGAAGAGTTTAAGTAGGGAAGAATCTTCATTCTTAAAACAGTCACTCTGAGCCGGATTGGTGGCTCAGCCTGTAATCCCGCGCTTTGGGAGGCCGAGGTGAGTGGATTGCCTGAGCCCGCGGGTTCGAGACCCCCCTGGGCAACTTGGCGAGACCTCATCTCTACAATAAATAAAAAAACTAGCCAGGCATGGTAGCGCGCGCCTGTAGTTCCAGCTACTCGGAAGGCTGAGGCGGAAGGATCGCCGGAGCCCAGCAGGTCGCGGCTGCGGTGGCCGGGAGCGGCTGCTGCACTCCAGTCTGGGTGAGGGAGTGAGACTCCAACTAAAACAAACAAACAAACAAAAAAAAACCGGTCACTGCGGCTGCCAAGCGGAGAGTGGTTTAGAGGCAGGCAAGAGTGGAAGCAGCATAAAGGCAGGCGTCGCTGGGCAGAGGCCAGGCGGAAGCTGATGAGGGCCGGGATGCAGCAGCGGCAGCATGAAGAGGAGGAGGTAGAAGCAGAACGTCTCGCTGATGAATTGGCTGTGGGAAAGTCAGGGAGAGGGAGGAGTTAAGGATGACTCCTAGACTTCCTGCGGCACCTTGGGGCTTACCATTGGCCGTCCCGTAGTTTGAGAGGGGACTGGGGCAGGGCACTCCAGGCATGTACCAAGGTCTCAAGGTGGGAAAAAAATGAGCGTGTTTGATGAGCTCAGAGAGGGCCAGGGACAGACTCAGGAATATACCCTTTTATTGCAATCGTGGGAGCGCATTCATTCGCCCAGGGCACATTTTTGAGTCTCCCTTCCATACCAACTCTTCGCTGAGGGGCTGGGAATGAAAATCCTGTATGCCCTGCTTTCAGGTGGCTCACAGTCTTTAGGATCAGCCTCCCTTTTTTCACCCACTCTTAAAACGGCCACTCTGGCTGCCAAATGCAGAAGGAACTAGGGGCGGGCAGGAGCAGCATCAGGGCCGACGGCGCGGAGAGTAGGCCCTGAGCTGCAGCGTCTCTTTTCCGTATTTTGAACAGACCCTGAGCCAAGTCACCACAGAGAGGGGAAAACTGCTCCTTGGGGGCCTTATGTTCGGCTGCTGCCCAGGAGCTACTTTTTGGTGGGGGAGGAGAGGGAAAGAAGTTGTGGCGAAAGATGTCTACCTGAATAAAAGTATACAGAGATACTAAAAGGGGGGCATCTGACCAATTAAAAAACATTAAAATTTAGTCTCATCGAATTTACTGCAATTTTTGGTAGCTCCTGGATTATAAACAATGAGGTCATAGATTGTCAAATGGCTATTGTAGCTTTTGACTTGGGGAAGACTGTTTTTGGCCAAAGGGCTGCTTTTCTGTACGTTTCTCAAATGTGTGTTTTCTGTAGCATGGCATGGTGATCAAAGAGAATGTAGCTTGCGTGCCAACATAAATGCAGCACCAGAGTATTGATTGCAATTTCAATGAACTCTTTTTTCACTTCCATATAAATCAACTCTCAGAGAAACTATAATTGCACTAAATCCTATTTCACATTTAAAAGTCATTCAGTCAGAAAGCTTATTCGTCGCCTTGTATTCTTGAATGTTAGATGTTCGAGTTCAAGTCTTCTGATGTAGATGGAGTTTCCTCCATTCATGTGGTGGTAGTCATTCAGCAGCTTTGGTTTCAGTACTCACTTTGTGCCTAGGTATTGTTTTTAAGTTCTGGCAGTGTAAAGGCAAATGATGGTGTATTGATTATCTCTTGCTGCATGAGAAACTAGCCCAAAATTTAGAAGCTTACAATAGCAAACATATTACACGGTTTCTTGGGGTCAAGACCTAGGAGCATCTTAGGCTGAATGGTTCTGATCTAGGGTTTCATTTGGTTGTAGTCAAGTGTCTGCTGAACTGCTGTCTGCTCAAGGTCAGGTGTGACTAAAGCCTACCTCCAGGCTCACCCACATGGCTGTGGGCAGGCCTGAGTTTCTTGCTGACTTGGTTGGAGACCTCCATCCTCACCAACATGGGCTTCTCCATACCTTGCTTACGTGACCTTGTGCATGGCAGCTGGCTTCCCCCAGAACAAGCGATCCAAGAGACAGAAGCAGCAGTCTTAGAACCTGATGTGCTCCGCCATTAGTTCTGCTGTATGCTGTTGATCATGCCGACTGCCCTGGTGCTGTGTTAGAGGGGACCGCATAAATGTGTGAATACCAAGAAGAGGTGCTCCTTTTGGAGACTGGCTGCATGTACACAGAGCATCCTTTCAAGGAGTTTTCAACTGACAAGCAGAAGTTGAAATTGCAGCATGCCACTATCTCCTAAAACCATCTCTACCCAGTATGTAGCCCTGACCACAATGAAAAAAGCTAGCCAATTGGAAAAATGACAAACCACTTAATTACTTTTCTCTTTATTAGTGGTAGCTAGATACAATGATAGATATAAGTTAAGGTGCAAAGATGAATGTCACAACATTAATAATTAGGTAATTAAGTAATGGTACATAATCCCTTACCCAAAACCCTTGGGGCCAGATTTTTTTTTTTTTTTTCAGAATTTTTTTACATTTTGGAAAATTATAAAAAGTCTGCCATATATTATGTTACATTACCAGCTAGATCTGAAATAGTACGCACAAACACATTAATAGTTATACAGCAAAAGGTATGACTGTTCACACTGTAAATATATAACTACATGTAGTCTCTATAAATAATTTCTACAATCAGCCTCTAGTCAGTTCAGATTAGGTTTTGCCATCACATGAGTTTGCATCAAACTTGTGAAAAACTTGGTTTTTAGGGCTTTGGGGTTTGTAGACTTTCAGGAAAAAGGTAGGATCTGTAATACAGAGATTGGGGGGCTGGTGGTTAGATTCAGAGGGTAAAGTGCATGTTTATCACATGAGCATATTGCATACTGGTGGGGATTGGGCTTCTGGGGTCTCCATTCCCCAAGCAGAGGTCATACCTGAAGTACGGAAGTGAAGATCCCCCATCTCTGTTGCCAGTACGCAAACAACAAACCACAGCCATCTTGCCAAAACCCTTAATATGCTAATCAAGTTTAGCCTTTTTGAGACCCTGGTTACAAGCAGTTTGTATAGTATGGACATAAGAGGAAAGACCAGCCCAGGAATTCCAAGGTGCATCTAGTATTAGAGGGCCTCCTGCTGACTTTAAGAATAGCCCAGCTCATGTAACACATCTCCAGAACAGACAGCCAAGAGTCACATAAAGAAACAGGAGAACCATGTTGTGAGTCTGTGTAGGAAACACAGGAACTCCCACAGCCAGACGTGACATGAAGTCAGATTAAAACAGCAGTTCTCACCATGACCCCATCCCAGTTCACCCGCGGGATAAGACCCACTCCCCAGAATCACCACTTAAAACTCTAGAAAAGAGGCCATGCCGATGCAGAGTATGTCAGATTTGCACCCAGTCACCTTTGGCTGTTCGAACAAAACAGCCCCACCTTAAGTTTTTAAAGATTGTAGTGTTTGAGTATAGCCTCTCTTTGAAAGGAAAGGTTTCAGAAGTTGAAAAATTAAAAAAGAAAAAAAACCCGTAAATCACTGGTGTCAAGGTCTCTGTTCTGTAAATGATTACGAGGGAGGAGGAAGGAGACAGGAGCGTAGAGGCACGACGCAGGCCCCGCTCACACGTCCTGTCTTGCCTTCTAGTTTTCGTGCGTTGAGTGTTGAGTTGTTCCTGCAAAAATCCTTTGTAGTAGAATGTATTTTCTTATTTACAGGTGAGACTTTATTTTCTTATTTATAGGAAAGGTAGAATAACTTGCTTGAGGTCACATAATCAGTAAGCAGAGAGCAGACATCTCTGACAGTTTGGATATTCTTTGCAGAATGACAGAAGTTTAAAATAATTTATACAACAGTTGTTGAACTAAGCCCTGAACTATGCGTGAAAATGGAAGAAAAATTAAATTAAAATGATATATGCTCTCAGGTTGTATCTAAGGAGACAGAAGATCTATGTCAAGAAAGTAAAGAGGGTATTTCCAAAGAAACACGTCAACAAATGAAAACCAGCGAGTGTCTAGCAAAAGCCATTTCTGTAAACTGAGTGGTAGGGTGCTAGGGTGCTAGGGCAAAGCACTTCTCCTAGAGAGTGAGACTGTCAGTGGTTCTCAGCCCAAGGTATTCCAGAATCATCAGGAGAGCTTTCAAAAGTTAAACCCCAAATTCTGCTGTAACTGTTGTGGGATAGGGCCAGGCATTGGTATTTTTACAACTCCATCATATGATATACAGGGTACAGCCAGTGCTGGGAGTCTCTGCAGTAAGTCAGCTACACGTCAGGGAGATGCACGTGTGTCTCTGACTGCAGCCTAGGGGCTTCATAAGGAAACTGAGGACAGAAGGGGCAGAAGGGGCATTGCCAAGCACAGAGTCAGCTAGACAGGCTGCTGTTCGGTTTATTTCTGAGCACTTCTGTTTTTTGGTGGCCACTAGATAAGTGTACTTTAAACGGTCATCTTTTAACATTTTCACTGAGTTCTTAAAGTAAAAAAAAAAAACAAATTGAGACTTGTTAAAACCAGCAAAAAATTGAAACTTGGCAAAATTAAAACATTTTGTAAACAAAAACTAAAGAATATTAGGGAACACTAAGAGCTTTAAATAGGTACTAACTCCATCCCTGACATTTCCAAAGGTGTTTTTTTTGTTGTTTTGGGGGGTTTTTGCCTTCCTTTTCTTTCTGTGAATGCTGCTGGTCCCCTGTTATGTACTCTAACACTAAGATTAAAATAGAGGGGATTTTGAAGAAATTTAACCTCATTTTTACACCCCAGGCTTTTTGCCCTGTGAAGTAAAAGTACTCCTTTCATGTTTTCCTTGTTTCTTAATGAAAATTCTCTAGAAGCTAAGTGATATTTCCACATCAGGTGGTGGCGTCTTTATCTAGGAATGGCTCGTGTCTATTTGGATCCTGCTATGTGCCAGGCCCCATGTCAGGCCCTGGAGAGCAGAGACGCCCATCTGTTAGGAGAGTGGCAGGCACATGAAGGTAGCATGATTTCACAAGTGCTGCAGAAGGGATGCTTGGAAAGACGCCATGCGAGCCCCCAGGGACTGGGAAAGATAAGGCAGCACCAGGAAGGTGGGGACTTTGAGGACTCTGTGGGAATATCAGCGGGCAGGGTGTTCAGGCAGGCGGCACAGCCAGAAGGCGCTGCCCACCCACCTGGAGTCCCTGACTAGGTGTAACGGAAACCACAAGTGAGGTTGTGGGACTTCAGGGTTGGGCTTGGGGGCAAAGGTACCACAGTCGGGCTTACTGTCCATCAGGGAGGGTGACCTTTGGGGTGTGGGAAGGACGGCTTGTCAGCCAGCAGTCCGTGTGCTCCTAGAGGACCGTCTTCGTCCAAGTAGATAAAATGTTGCCTGCGTGATGTGCTGCAGGGTCGTCCACACAGAACGGCAGCGCGTTAAAGCGGGAATTCTCTGGAGGAAGCTACAGTGCCACGCGGCAGCCCATGCCCTCCCCGTCAGAGGGCTCGTTGTCTTCTGGAGGCATGGACCAAGGCAGTGATGCGCCGGCGAGGGACTATGACGGAGAGGTGAGTGGCGAGCGGGTGGCAACTCCACCTAGAGGCAAGGCTTTGAAGACGTCGCGTACCAAGAAGATGAGTGCGTTGGCCGGGGTCATCCCACCACCTCGAGACCGGCCTGGGCTGCAGCAGGGGATCGACGTCCGCTCTCAGCCGGGGACAGCAGGGCCAGTCACTTGGGTTGCAGGCCGCAGTTTTCCCAGAGGTGTTCAGACATCTCGTGGCTTTTATATGAAAATACCTACATTTCCAAAGGCCTGCAGAAAAGATTTTGAGCGTGTGTTGTGTTCTGTGCCTCTTCCCCGGCTCACAAGAGGCCTTTCTGCTGACAGTACAGAAGCCTGCTCTGGTCAGGGTGGCAGGAGGGCATCCATGCTAACCCGAGCCCCTCCTTTGTCCCTCTGCTTCTCATCGTTTTACTTTGGACTTTACAGGACTCCGATTCTCCGAGGCATTCCACAGCTTCCAACAGTTCCAACCTGAGCAGCCCCCCAAGCCCCGTTTCACCCCAAAAGACCAAGAGCCTCTCTCTGGAGAGCACCGACCGCGGGAGCTGGGACCCGTGAGCTGCTTGGACCTCTCGCCCTCAGCTCCCCTCCACTCGCCTCCTCTCTCACTTTCATCTCTTTCTTCCGCCTTGGCCTGAACCGACCAGGGGCTGGCAGCAGTAGCAGGGCAGGGATCCCGGAGTTCTGACCCGCAGACCCACACCCCCGGCCTAGCAGCAACAAAGGCAGACTTGCATCAAGCAGCTTAGAGTAATACTGATTTCATTCCATACACTTAGAGTTGCTTTCCATAGTATTTTTCCCCTCCCCCAAAGGTAGCTTAAGTAGACAGATTACACAACATAAGTATTAAGAATAAGATTAGACCGATTTTGTTTTCACAGTAGAGTCTCATTCTAGTATGAAAATAGCTCACAGGGTTCTCCACGCCCTGCGGGGAGAGTCTGTCCCTGGAGTGGCACACTGAGCTCTCGTTCCACAGTGTCAACTGACTGTTGCCAGGAAATCCTTATGAGTTGAAACAGTGCATATTTTAATACAATACAGAGTTTGAATACATAAATGTAGAAGTTAAATACTGAATGTATATAGTCAAAAGAAGCATCTTGTATTCAACAAAAGATGGATGCATATATAAGAGAGAGAGAAGATTTAATTTAAAGAAATGTGTTTCTTGTCAGTTTTCCAGCTAAGTAATGTAAAGAGTACCAAGGCCTCGATCTGGCATTTGGAGAGGGAGAGACATCAGAGTTCCCTTTAGTGCCCTGCCCTTAAACTGGTTACAGGCTGCAGTCGTTGGGGAGCTTTGGAGAGCACTGGTTTGGAGTGCAGCCTGGGCACTGGAGTTGTAACATTTGAAGCCCTCCAGCAGCAGCGGCAAGAGGCAGGCTCACCTCTACCCAAGACGCCTCTTTTCTAGTGGTAGAAATTGAACCGCACTTCTCATTCTTATTATATTTTGGTATCTTCTGCAGATGAATATAGAAATTCGATTCTGTCACCTCTGCTCCCTTCCACCTGAAAGGGCATAAGGAGTATTACGGCTTCTGAAGGCCCATAAAAAGAGTTCCTCAAAGTGCTTTTTTCCTGGGCTAGGACTGCCCCTCTCCAAGTCACAGCGAGGTGTCCGTCCCAGGGTGGATGGTTTCCCAAGGAGGAGTCTGTTTGCTGAGGGTGGGTGTGAGCTTTCTCAGATAAGCCTAGGAAAAAGGGCTTTTACTACCAAACAATAGAAGAACCTCTCAAGCAAGGCCTTGAGCAGCCTTAACCAAACGCCCTTCCCACACCCAGGGCACAGGCGCCCGTGAGCCCGGCATAGTCCGAGTTGACTGGATTCCTCCCTCACTTGCTGTATTGTGTTGTCAGTTACATTTCCACTTGGATTCCTACTGTTTTAATTGCCATGAGGAAATGAGATGCAGAACCAGAAGAACTTACTTATAGAGTCATTTTACCAGTTAAGCACATGAGTAGAGGAGATAAAAATAAAAATATCTCATGGAAGTAAAGAGATTCTGCCTCTCTTTTACTTTTCATCTATGTTACTCTGAGAAATAGAAAAAGGATTTTCTCTTCTTTAGAATTCAGCTAAAATGAGGCAAGTTTTCCTGCATGGCTAACCTGGGTTGCAGTGTTTAGGCCCTGTCATTCCGCCACCGACACCCGCCACTTTACCTCGACTGGCCAGGAGCCGGTGCAGGGAGCTGGGGCTGGTCCCGGGCGATGCCCCTGAGGTCAGTGAGGGAAGAAAGGATGCTGTGGAGATTATTTCGCCAACAGTAGGAATTTGCAAATAACAGCATTGACACACAAGCATTCTGGATTTGGTGCTGGCTCAGATTTGATATTTTATTTGGGGAACTGCACAGTTCTAGTCTCCCAGATCTTTTTGGAAAGAAGCGTAAAAGTACTTTGTTCGTGTGAATAGCAAGGGTTGGCCTTCAAGCTGGGTTATTGCCGAACGACTCCAGGAGCTCCTTAACTATCTTCACGTGAGAGAAGGGACTCAGTGGCCGGCCAGCCGCGGGCACTCGCACCCACTCCTCTTCTCTCCACTCTCTCTGTCCTTGTGTTTCCCTTCCTCTTGCCTTTTCCTCTCCCATTCTCTTCCCAGGCAGAGAGGAGACAGAGAAGCCAAGATTGACAGACTCCACACCAAGCCATTTTTGTTTTTTGGTTTTTTCGAGTCAGGGTCCACTGTGTCACCCAGGCTGAGTGCAGTATCGTGATCAAAGACTGAGAGCAGCCTCAGCCTTCTGGGCTCAGGCGATCCTTCCACACCTCAGTCTCCAGAGTAGCTGGCACTACAGGCGTGAGCCACCATGCCCGGCTACGTTTTTGCTTTTCTCAGAGTTGAGGTCTCACTATGTTGCTCAAGCCATCTTGAATTCCTGGCTCAAGCAACCCTCTTGCCTTGGCTGCCCAAGATGCTGGGATCATAGGCGTGACCCATCATGCCTGGCCTAGTTTTAGCTTTGACAACTAATTGCGAATTTGTGTTGCCTATGGGTGCTTATTTTTCAGAGGATGCTTTTAGGCTCAGAGTAACCTTACCTAAAGTTGCTGTGATGAGTCCTCCTCTTCAGCCTCCCCACAGGGTAGATGAGAGTGAGCTGCTGAGGGTTGGCTGCCTGGCTCTCCACAGCCTGTTCGTTCATATTCACCCACGGACTGTGCCGTGGCGACTTTTAATTTTTCCACTGTAGTTACAAGTAGTCTCATGAGACATAATAGCGCAGCCCCAAATGTGTTTAGATTCTAAAAGCAGAGCCTTAGGGAGAAACACTAGGGGTAATAGTTTGGGGGGAATTTTCACAAGATAATGATCGTCCTACTAGGCTTATCCTACCCTTAAATATGAAGCCTGTTTCCTTCAGAAGCTTCTGAGAAGAATGATTTGAAAAGACAGGGAATGAGTTCCAGGGAAACAGAAAACACAATGATCAAAAGAGTCAGTAACAAAGATCACAGAAAAGGTGTTTTGTTGCTGTCTAAAGTCATCCCTTGTTTTCGTGCTGGACATTTGAAAAATATATGTGACAGAAGGCGCTTGTTTCTCAATAGAAAGAAAAAACGTTCAGAGGTGTTTCTGGGATAGTCTGTATCTGTTGGTATTTGGTGCTATCTTTGTCCAGCCAGTTTATCTCCCCTGAATTCTGACTAATCTTGTCTTGTGCTTTGGGTGTATAAAATTATATATACATATATATATTTCTATTTGCCAAAAACAAAAGCTTTGCTCCTCGTGAAATGATTGCTAAAGTATATTTCACATCTTCAGTTATTAAATATACATATATATTTATACACACATCCCTACACTTAGTGGTTTATGTTTTTTCCCAGGGAGCTTAGCTTTAAGGCTCTGAGATACAGCTAAAAAGGGCCCATCACTAGGTTTTCCAACCATTTCTCATACCCACACTTCAGGGGAGAATCTGAAATTCCCGTCATGTTTACAGCAACAATCTGTCATTCCCAGCTGGCTCTCAGCCTTTCCCTCCTTCCATATGGTTAGAATTGCATCATTTTGTTTCTTAGTGGCCACAACTAATTCTGAGAGTAGAAATGCATTTTTGTGGAATCTCAGGTATCATTAAGGAAAAGCCAGAGCAGGGTGAGCAGACATCTGAACCCACCAGGCCCCCCTGCCGCCTCCGGCAAGGATCATAAACTAGGTCGTCTCTGGGCCTCGCCACGTCCGCGGCTCCCCATCTGCTCTCTAGACGGACGCTGCGCAGCCCGACACTCCTGCTCCCGCGGGTCGGACTTGGCCACAGCCCTTGTCGCTGAGCACGGCAGGGGATTAGCTGGGTACTCCACTCCCACCCCTCTCTGGCCTGGGCCTGGATTAAGAAAGCTGCATGGCATTTCACGGAGCCCATGTAGACCCTCTTCCTTGCTATAACTTTATTACTCAAGTCCAGAGTTCTCTGTGCACTCCAGCTAGATAAGGGGCTTGGCTCGGTGGGAGCACGGGTTCCCGTCCAGCCCTGGCAGCGGGACGACCGATACACACACGACAACGACGCAGGTATGGGGGACAGTGACACATCAACCTTGGCAATCTCATGAAAACAAAACGACCTGCCTTTTTATTTGATGGTATAATAGCATTTATACATTTTTTAGGGTTTTTTCCTCATTGTAATATTATTGTACAGTTTTGCATGGTCTAGGTGTAATCATTTTTGTTTAGAATATAATGCTGACAAATATGTGTGTATGGAGGGAAAAGATACTGCTTTGGCCTCTTGTCACTCATTTTATTTTGTTTGGTTTTATGCCCTCGGTGTCCTAGGGAACTTTATAAGAGATTCTCTGCTACCAAACAATGATATGTGGATTCTTTTGCACAGAAATATTTAAGGTGGGATAGCAAAAAATGTTTCAAAGATTCCTCACCAATATTTTATGTTGGTATCACTTAATATTAACCAGAATTTGATGTATTGCAATAAAACAGGGAACTGTTAGAATTGAGCATTTTGTCTTTTTTCCCCCATTTAAAAAGTGTGAGGAATGGAGAAACAGGGCCTCTCGGCCTGCCTTGACCTTTATGCAGCTTCCCTCTTAGTCTGGGCTTCTCCTTTCCCCCATGAAGACATAGGGCTACTTTGCCCCCTGTGGTTTAATCTGGGACTTTCTTAGTTTTTCCTCAACTCGGGTAAGAATAATGTTAAATTCTCTTGAGCTTTCACCTCCCCTCTTCCAGTCAAAACTTTTCCCTCTGTCACTTCAGTCGGCAAGACCAAGCTCTGCCTGCATGAGTGGCCTGACGGGAAAAACGCGAGGGTAGTTGGATTCTATGTCGCTTACTGATGAGCATCAGTAGCCACTTAAACAAAGTTACTGTTACTGCTTTTGTTGAGTTAGAATGGTACATCTGGGAACACAAGTGGGGTGCGGGTGGTGTCAGTGAAGGAAATCCTAAAATGTGGCTGCTGCTAACCATTATTCTGAGAACTTCCCTGTGACCATTTCCTGTGTAATTGGCATTTTTTACTGTGCTGTGTTGGTTATCATGTCTGCCATACTTTTGAGGCAGCAGCTGTGCAGTGGTTTAGAACAGGGCTTGGCAGACTTTTCCTGTAAATGGACAGTTAATGCATATTTTGGGCTTTGCAGGCTACATACGTAGTCTGTTGCAGCTACTCAACTCTGCCATTATAGTGCGCAAACAGTTTTAGTCTAAAACGTAAATGAATAAAGACTTCGATGTTCCAATAAAACTTTACTTACAAAAATGCAGTGGGCAGACTTGGCCCATGGATCCTAGTTTACCAGCCCTTGGTTTAGACTTGACTTAGTAAGGACAGCCAGGCCAGCCTGGCTTGTTCCAAATTCTGGTTCCACGACATAGCCTCCGAGCCTCCGCTTTCTACTCTATAAAAATGCCCACTTTGAGCATCAGAGGAGTTAATACATACAAATACTTAGAATAATGTCTAGCCTTAATGTTTGGTCACTGTTATTAACCATTAAAGCCTACAGTAACAAGTATTCTTTTCTCTGTGCTACTGTGTGTCCGGCCCTTCACTGGATCAGGGATGCAGGAGGACTGACCCTGTCCCTGGAGACCCCCACAGTGACCTGCCCTCTTCTCACACCGTGTCTTCCAGGGGGAGTGGGTAGGCGCAGGGTCATTCAGTCACTGATACCGTGCAAGTCAAAACAGGTTCAAAAGAAAAAGTATGTGTGGCCAGTTTCAAGGGCCAGCGTTACTCAGCGATCGGAGTCGTTTACAGTCCACAGTGGTCCCACTCTCTGAGCAGGCGTCCTCTGGTTCTCAGCCGGCTGTCAGACCTAGGGTGCGCGCGTACACACACGCACACACACTCGTCTCCCTTAGAAAATCCCTCTTCCACCAGCAGTTATGTCAGTGTTTCTTGAGAGGCAAATACTTGCTCTCAGTTCTTTATTTTCTGGTCTCCCTCCACCCTCATGCTGCTGCTTCACCTGCTTAGGTTGTTCGGGAGGAAGAGGCTCATGAGCGCCCAGGCTAGGGTGGCCTGGGTCCTGCCCCTGCTGTCCTCCCTGCAGGGGGGCTCCGCAGAGCGCTGGAGGGCAGCTCACAGCTGCTTTAAGCGGGCCGCAACTGCCCGCCTGGGACCCAGCGGTGGTGCTGGGTGCCAGTGCTGACCATGTGGCCCCACAGAGACAACCCCCCCAGGCTTTTCCATCCTGTCCCGGAGTCCAGCAATCCGCTACCCCAAATTTCAGACCGCTCAGGACCGCCCCGTCTTTGCAGGGGCACTTGCTCAAGGTCTGGGGGAAAGGCGCCCCCGTTAGCCAGGAATCAGGTGAGCCCTGATGTCTAGGGAGAGGCTCTGCGATGCTGGCCCTGCTGGTGGGTGTGGCTGGCCACTGTGGTTGCCAACAGCTGCTCCCTCCCTTCTCCCGCCCCTCCAGTGAGTGGCTGAGCCTCGCAGCTTCAGGTGCTGAGGGCCGCAGCTGGGCACCGGTGCAAGCCTCGCCAACGGGCTGTGCCGCTGATCTGGGGAAAGACTACCGCCATGATGCTAGAAGTTTCCATCGTTCTCCAGAATTATTAAAGCACACAGAAATGGTACATCAGCAAAACACTTTTTTCACTGAATTGGAACAAGTGAACTAGGTAATTACAAGAGCTGTGCAATTCAGAGCCTGTGATGACCCTTCGGGTGTAACCAGTGACACCTGTGCCTCTCCAGGCCCTGAAGAGAATGGAGGAAGCCCCCACATGGCCTTCCGTCAGCAGGGAGAGCAGAATCTGTCTCGCCTTCCTGCCCTTCTGCCATTCCCAACCCTCCATAAGGCAGCAGTTCTCCAGAAACATTCAGTTGTTAAGAAAGTGTAAAGGCCAGGCTCAGTGGCTTAGTCTGCAATCCCAGCACTTTGAGAGGCTGAGGTGAGCCGACTGCCTGAGCCTGTGGGTTCGTGACCAGCCTGGGCAACTTGTAGTTCCAGCTACTTGGAAGGCTGAGGGGGAAGGATCGCCAGAACCCAGCAGGTCAACGCTGGGGTGGCCGTGCACGTGCCACTGCACTCCAGCCTGGGTGACAGAGTGAGACTCCAACTCAAAACCAAAAAAAAAAGGAAGTGTAAAGACCAGCCAAGCAGGCCCAGGCTTCACATGGCTAAGGAGCACTTGATGACCGTGCCATTCAGACCGGCGCAGGCCACAGGCAGGAGAGGAGAGGGCAGGAAACACCTCATTCTGGAGACGTGTCCACACACCAAGCCTCATAAAATCCAAAAAAAATCTCACCTGGCTGTGATTTGGGGTTTTGTTTGGGGGGCAGGGATTCAAAGGAGTGAATACACTCTCATTTCTGCTTAACATCACACTAGGAAAAGGAGAAGAAAAGAAAACTGCCTTTTTATCTTTATCTAGAGTTGCATCCGAGGACATAAGAGGCAGGTTCCCACAGCAGCAGGCCTTCGTTCTCATTCTTGCACGTCTCACCCTGTAACCACTGAGCGCCGAAAACAGTGTGATGCGCCGCTCAGGGGCCGCAGGCAGTCTCCCCCAGTCAGAACCAGCCGCCCTCGTTCTGGGCAAAGGAGTCTGCAGGCAGCGGTGACTGTCTCCCTGCTGGCTCTGCCTGCGTGGAGGACGGCACGTTCGCGAAGCTGCCTGGCGGGGCTGCAGCTATGGCTGCTCCGCCCGCCTCCGGCAGTAGTTGCCATAGGCCTCCTCGAACATGGCCTTACAGGCAAAGCGGGCCTTCAGCTTGGAGCAGATGAGGAAGGAGCCCCCCATCTTCCTGTGCAGGGAGTAGGTCTCCTCAGGTGGGGGGACCAGACGGTGCTTCAGCATGACGGGAATCAGGTTGTGGATCTTCTCCGTGGTGCTCTGGGTGCCGAAGTCAAAGGGCTCATCTGAGGCGAAGGCCTCTCCCAGGATGAGGATGGCATCCAAGTGGGCATCTTCCATGACCTGAGGGGAGAACGGGAAGTGTGGATGACAACAAGATCCGAGAGCCCTCCGCAGAGTCCTGGGTTCCTGCCGTTGTGCCCTCCTACCAAGTTCTCACTGAAAGCCCTGTTCAGAAGTTGAGGAGAATGGCAGGCGGGTGAGTGTTCTGGTTTCTTTTCAACTAGATTAAATAACGGTAAGGGGCATGAACTAAACCCACAGGGGCCAGGAACACAACACTGATGTGTGGTCTGGACTGGTGTGAGGCGAGAGGGCGGGGTGGCAGAATGTGTAGTGAGCCCTGCCTGGCAGCACGCTAAGTTTCAGCAAAACACTGTTCTAGCCAAAACAGGAGTCAAGAAGCCTGAGCTGGGAGAGCCGGCCCACCAGGCATGTTCCACAAGCCCACCAGAGTCTGCCCAGGTCACAGCCTGTGGTCCTCTGCTGGGTACAGGGCTCTGGGCTGGTTGTCTGCCCACAGAGGAACCTGAGAAGCGACTGGCGCCAGCAGGACAGGGGAGAGTAGCAAGCCCTCCACAGACTGGGGCCAGGAATCAAGTCTAGCCTCAGAGTGAAAGTAGCCAAACAGAAGAGGCAGTAAGGGGCTGCTGTTTACTGAGGGCTTTGAGGCAGGTATAATTGGCTCCCTTTTACAACTGAGATAAGGGAGGCTCAAAGACACTAATTTGCCTAAAATGACATGCCTACTAGATGGCGACCCAAGACTTGATCCGGGTCTCTTTAACCCCTTCCTCAGTGTCAAGGAGAGGAAAGCACTGCTTTCCGAGTGGCTTTTGGGAGACAGGAACACAGACTATCCCCCTTAAAAGGCTGCTAGGATTTCTCCCAGCTCTCCCCCATCCCACTTGCACAAGCCCACAGACTCAAGTCCCCAAGTGGGTGAGAGTGGGAGGCAGAAATGAGAGCTTCTCAAGTCTCCTAGATGCCCAACTCAGCTGCCCACTTGGAAAATCTCACGCACACAGCATGCAGGCACTGGGTGGGCTGGCCCAGCTTGCACACTGCCTGAGGAGGCCTGGGCTCTGCAGAGACCACTGGAGGGCAGCTGCCCCTGTGCTTCCATTCATTTATATACTGAGATTCCACTTCAGATTTTAAAGTTTTCGAAAAAGTCCACACCCACCCTCCTAGCCCACCCAGCAGCCTGGCCCCCACCCCAGGCCAGCACCACTCACTTTGACCTCGTAGCCAGTGAGGAACTTCATCTCTATGGATTTTGTCCGCACAGTCTCCCGGTCCCTGTCGGCGGCGGCCCTGATGATCTGGTGCAGGCACAGGAGGGGACCACGGGGCGGCCCGGAAAGAAAAGCTCCTGATGTCCCAGGGAGCCGCATGCCAACCCCCAGACCACCCCACCGTCATCCTCTCCTGTCCCTTCATGAGACCCTGGCCTGGGAACACAGCCAGTGCTGGGCCTGACTCGGCCACGCCTGCCCACTGTCACCAGCCCTGGAAACAGGCAGCCTCCATGGGGACACGGGCAGGAGTCCACCCATTCTCCCTCCAAGTTGCCCGGCATCCTGTCCCCGCCCCCAGGTCACGGGCCAAGACCCGGGCCCCGCTCCTGCCGTACCTGAATGTAGAGGTCAGTGAAGGATCTGTCATACTCCCGCGTGGCCCCAAAGTCCAAAAGAGCCACCTGCAGATTGTGACACCAGGAAGGTTTGTCCTGGTCATCGGTGGT